CCCTGAACCGCTTCCAGGAGTGATTGAGTCAGGAGTCAGCCCTGAGCACCAAAGGGTGTGCCCAGACAATAACAACCATTAAAAAGAGATTATGCAAATCAAGAAATAAAGAGTCATATACATGAGGGGCAGGGAGAGAATATTTAAGGTGGAGAGAAGAACATACACAGAGGCACCAAGGCAAAGAGCCTTATATTTAAGGAACCAACAGCAAGCCACTGTGGTGCGGTAGAGGAGGGGAGATGTGTACTTCGGGTGCAGTTGCGGAGCAGAATCGGTCACCCAGGAAGCTGTTAGGAACTGTGGGTGACTCTGGGTGTACCAAGTCAGCCAGAGATGTGGCTGGGTGACATATCCTACTAAGTCCAGGCTCGTGGTGGTTTCAGAGAAGACGGTTTCAAGTGATTTTCTTTCTCTTGCACTCCGGGAATGGTCAGGAACCTAAGAGGCCCGACCTGAGTCGCGGTACTAAAATATAACCTGCAATATCTGGCAGGTGAAATTACTAAGACGGATAATTAATGCTCTCAAAACTTGCCTAACTGACTTTGTGCAACATATTTTGGGAGTTGCCAGTGAGGTTTGTGTGTTGACACAAATGATGACACACGCAGAGACTTGTTAGGAGTGAAGATTTAGTAGCGTGGTAGGTCCTGGAAAAGGCAGCTGTCGCCCTCTTCACTGGGTGCGTTTATAGGCGAGGTCGCTCATAACAGTGCTCTCTCTCCTCCCTCGACTCATAAAGCCCTCTGCTCTTTTCCGTCCTTCCTATATTCTCCTGGCTGACACATCTCCGTCCACATCTTTGATCATGTTTGCTCCAGTCTGCGAACCTACAACTCCGTGTTGCTTAATAGACCAGGTCAGGATCCATGTTGACATTTGAAATTTCACATGATCGCTACTATTTTTTTAAATCTGAGATTACATCTAGCATCATCAAAAACCCCAGTCCCTTCTGCTGGGGATGATGCTATCTTGCTTGGGTATAGTAGGGAAAGTGATCTTAGCTAGACCTGTTAGTTCCATAGATGAACACCAGGATGATTTCTCATTTCTGTATTCAGTGACTTTCTGCCTTCATTCATCACCGTTACAGCTACATTGATCTTTGTTTCATAATTCTGTGCTTTCTCAGTGATTTAACTAGCTAGTACTCAATTACTAGCCATGTACTGGGGAAAGGTTACCCTTCCTGAGCCCTCCAAGCTAGAACCTAGATTCTAGATTTGATTTCTCTAAAACTATGATGGGTGCATTGTCCTAAGGTGTTCATTGAAAATACTGAAACTTCAAAAATCAATCTTAATTGTTTTCTCCAAAACATAATAAATGTCAAAAGTACTCTGAAAAAAATAGCAAACATTTCTGAAAGTACACTTGATTTTAGGATAGTAATTTGGAATCATAAGTTTTTACCACAATCACAATTAGTGAATTGTCACATAATTCACAATTATGTGAATCATAATTTTAACCCTTACTTTTCCATCCTCTCTACTTCTCCCAGCCTTTGTGTGATTGGGGAAACTGAGACACGCAGAAGTGGGTGATATATAGTGAGACTCATGTTTCAAATCCTTGCGAAGAATTTTAGAGGCGAATGCAAGGAATTGAGCACTCACTTTGCACACAAGAGTGCAGGATGCCCCAACGCCACCAGGGGCAACACAAGCACTGAGAAAGGAGTAGCCCCATGCGCACTGCCAGGTGTGGTTACAAAACAGAAGATAAAAAAAACAAAAGCGCAAAAAAAAGGAAAAAGAGAGAGAGAAGGAGAGAGAAGGAAGGAAGGAAGGAAGGAAGGAAGGAAGGAAGGAGGGAGGGAGGGAGGGAGGGAGGGAGGGAAAGAAGGAAGGAAGGAAGGAAGGAAGGAAGGAAGGGAGGGAGGGAGAAAAAAAGAAAACAAACGAATCTTAATCTGGCAGCTCTCATTTAAATCCCAACTCTGCTGCATTCTTTGCCTCACACTAGGCAAGTTATTTTTATTCCTCTAAACCCAGTTCTCCAATGTATATGATGATATTTCACTTATTATTTTCATGCTTAAGACCTGGTTCATATTAGGCATTGACTACTGATTTTCTTTCTCAATAGAGCAAAGTCCTACTATAAGTAATTGTTCTATTTATCTTTATTTGGTTTGGGACCACACCCAGTGGTGCTCAGGAATTATTCCTAGTATTTCTTGGGGTACCATATGCAGTGCTGGGGGATCCACCTGGAGTTAGTTACATGTTTAGCAGGTGCTTTGCCTGCTGTACTGTCTCTCTGGCCTCACCATATTGTGTATGTACTTCATCTGACATCGTTTGTGTGTTGTGTGTGTACGTGTCTATTTTAAGGTAGGATAATATGAGATACTTTGTCAGCACACAGTGATTTATGAAGACAAAAAAAAAGGTAAAGGCCCTCCCGTTGATCGTCAATTTGCTCGAGCGGGCCCAGTAATGTCTCCATTGGAGACTTTGTTGTTACTGTGTTTGGCATATCAAATACTTATGAAGACAGTCAAAAAGAAAAATAGAATCGCTCATACTCAGGAAGTCAGTTTGATTTAAAGATGGTAGCATAAATATTTGAGTTAATATAAGTGTAAGAGTCAACACTGCAGTGGTTTCCAGGTTGCAACAGTTCTTTTCTTGTTGGGCTTGTTTTGTTCTTAAGTTTACCTGCAAACAAATGACACATTTGTCTTCATTGAGGTAGCCTTTATGTCAGTATAGTATGGCTACAAAGAAAGCCATAGGAGTAATATAATCTCCCCTGGGGAAAATGATTACCAGTGTGTTCATTCACTCACCTTGTTCACTCACTCTGTATTAGTGAATGCAATGGACTCTAAGGGATAAATTTCCGTATGGAGTTGAGGAAGCCTGTTAGAAGGCATGTCTCGGAATGGCTGAGCCTCTTGAGTGGCTTTAGGAGCGTTTTGTCTTCAGGAACAACTGGAACCAATGAGTGAAATGTCACCGTGATGTTCCTTTCTGTTGCACTTCTGATTCACCTTGTCATTTCTCTGTAGACCAGCCACTTCACGCCCAGTAGTCCACATGGTCTCAAGTGTAAATGTTTGGAAAATAGATTCAGACATAATTCAAATCAGAAGAAGTCCATCCTGAGTCAGTTATAGACAGGAAGACAGGCTCAGGCAAATGCATGGTGGCTCCTTCAAGAGTGGTCTGGCTGAAGTGGGGTGAGAAGGGGTGTGCTGACCAGAGAGCCACAGACCCATTCTGGCATTCTAGTTTGTGGGCTCTTCGCCTGGACTACAGGAAAGATTCTTTCTGAGTTGAGCTCGCTTGCAGTTAAGTGACAGGAGATGGGTACGCAGTCAAAATAAGTGTGTTCCTATAATCGTGCTTCTGTGTATAATGAATGTGTAAGTTAGATGGCAGGGGTGGGGGTGGGGGTGGGGGTGGGGATGGGGGGTGAGGGGGTCAGCTTGCGTAGACCAGACAAAACTAGCTTCTGCTAGTGATCATGGTTACAACACTGGACACTTGGTAGTTTTTCTCAAAATATTAAAATCAGTTGAACTATTGCAAAGTATTCCAGGGACTAGGGGTACCCTTGGCATTTGCTGAGTAGAAGCATCATGTGCTTTTTCACTGAAAGTGCTTCTTCAAAATGCCTCCCTGAATTATTCATTGAGTTATTTTTATAAAAAAAAATGAATTCACAAACCAAAAATAAAAACCTTTGGGGATTTTTTAGCTTCAGTTAGTTGCCATGTTGTGTTTTAGAGAATTCAGATGGTCTCTAGTGGTCTTCGAAGGCTCTCTGGATTGGTGAAGACTGTGCGGGCTGACAGCGTAAGTATCCTGGCACCACGTACTTGTCAGTCAGAGACATCGTCTTATTCCTTCCTGTAAGTTGGAACTCATGGAGTGCCTTGTCATAGGCCTTTTCCAGAGTTTCCCATCCTTTGCTCTCGGGATGACCTGCCGTATAAGCGGTATTACATTTCCCATTCTTCAGTTTTTTTTTTTCAGGAAGAGAAAACTGATCCTTTTTCCATCTTTTATTCCTTTGGGTCAACTTTCTGCATCTTCTTTCACAAACTCTCCATTCCTGAAGCCTCCGTGTTTCAGACCGAGCACCCGGTGCTCCAGACTCATCATCTGGACTTTGTCTTAGCAGCATGGAAACTTAAATTCTCTCTAACCTTGCCGGTCTTTAATTATTTCTATTTATTTATTCACTGTTGTTTTGGCGAGGTGTTTTTTGGGCCGTGCTCAGGAATCACTGCTAGTGGTGCTTGGGTGACCGCACAGGATGCCAGGGATCGGACCTGGGTGGGCTGCATGCAAGGCGAATGCCCTACCCACTGTACCGTCACTCTGGCCCCCAATTTCATTTTTAGTAAACCTTTTATTTTGAGATAATTGTCATTTCGCAGACATTGGTAAGAATTAATACAGATGTCCTTTAATCTCTACAAAGTCTCTTTGGTAATATCATCTTGCAAAACTATTGTTTCACACCCAGGATATTGACACTGATACTATCAAGGTATAAAACAATTGCCCAGATATTTTAACATATGTTTCTTCATAGGTTTTATTTTTCTTTTTGGGTCACACCCGGTGATGCACAGGGGTTCCTCCTGGCTCATGCACTCAGGAATTACTCCTGCGATGCTCAGGGAACCCAGGTCGGCCGCGTGCAAACACCCTACCCGCTGTGCTATCGCTCCAGACCCCTTCATATGTTTTCTGATTTAACTCTTATGCTCTCTCTCTTCTCACATCTAATCATTGCCCTACGGATTTGACAGTGATTAAATAGGCTAAATTCTCCTGTTGCTATGGTTCCTGAAGATGACAGTTTGCATTCTTCTTATATTATTTTCCTGGAATAAATACTTGCATTTGGAAGACTTAATGCAGCATCAAACCTCTCACGAGGACCAGTGCTGTGGAGACTGGTGTATGTTACTTGTCCTTTGAGATTTAAGAGCCCTCATCAACGGTGCATTCCCCTTCCTCCCCCAAAAGGCCAGTTCTGCACGGAGGATGTAGACGAGTGCCTGCTGCAACCCAACGCCTGCCAGAACGGGGGCACCTGTACCAACCGCAATGGGGACTACGGCTGTGTGTGTGTCAACGGCTGGACCGGAGCTGACTGCAGCGAGAACATCGACGACTGTGCCTTCGCCTCCTGCACTGCGGGCTCCACCTGCATCGACCGGGTGGCCTCCTTCTTCTGCATGTGCCCAGAGGGGAAAGCCGGTAAGACCAGCACACAGGCAGAACCTGTCCGTCGAGAAAGAGGAGGAGGAGTATGTAGGAATTCTGTGTTCATTTTTATCCTCGTATTTGGTTGTCTTCGTGGGGGCAAGCAATTCCAGCCTGCTCCACAAATGTTATCGCTAGCCACAGTTTTTTTAGTTTAGTTTTTTTTCCCCAAGGCCCCCCCCCCCTCCAATTCTCTGTATTTCTGTTTTTCATCCCCCTCAAGTGAAAGTTAATAACTACTGCCTTGGGTGTGTCTCTGATCTCATTTAAGAATTTACATTTAAGAATATACATTTAAGCTCCATGACTTGGAGGCCAGCCACACGTGCTAGGGGAAAAGGAAGCTCAGATAGAGAAGAGAGCACCAAATAAAGGGTGTTGGGAGGATCCTCCCAGGATGAGAGATGCATGCTGAGAGTAGACTATAGACCAAACACGATTGCCACTCAATGCCTCTCTTGCAAAACACAGTACCCAAAAGAAGAGAGAGAGAACAAGGGGGAATGCCCTGCCACAGAGGCAGGGTGGGACGGGGGGTATGGGGGTGGGAGGGATGCTGGGACCCGTGGTGGGGGAGGATGGGCACTGGTGGAGGGATGGGTACTTGATCATTGTATAGCTGAAACCCAAGCACAAAAATTTATAAGTCTATAACTGTACCTCATGGTGTTTCACTAATAAAAAAATTTTTTAAAAATAAAAGAAAAAAAGAATATATATTTAAGAATTTTAAGAAGAAACAGTTCGTTTACTGAGGAGTTATTAAGAGGGAAGCATTTAAACAGCTCTCTGTTTCTATGGAAATATTCCTGTAGGGAGGATTTTTACCAGTTGCAAAGAGAGCTTTATATGCCCTGTCAGTTTAATAGCATCGGGCTCCAGGACTGGAAAGTAATGAAGAGAGGAATGTGGTGGACGAAGCCGCTTAGCCGAGAGAATGAAAGCAGTGCCTGGCTTAGAAATGCATTTAAATCGAAGCTGTCTCAAAAGCCCCCACTCCTGCTTTGTAGAACAAACCATCTGTACCTGGTCATAAGCTACTTGAAGGCTCAAAAATCCACTTACCATGTGAACCGCACTGAACTTGGGCCTACTGATGTCTTCAGAGCCAGGGATCACCGAGTCTGTAATGTCAACACTACCAAAAGACTTCTCAGTGTAGGCTAATGAGGATCACGTATTTTGGTTTGATTTTGGCTGCTGCATCTAATGAAACTCTAGTGGCCTCATGATCGATCATCAGGTCGCATAACTTGGGGAAGGTCTGTTGCCAGCTAAAATGCAGAATGCATGCAATATTGGAGACATGGAATGAAATTCTGTTTGTTGTCTGTCTGAAAAGCAGAATGAATTGGGCATCTTTTTGTTTCCAGAATCTTGCAGCACCATTGGAAGGACTCCCCATTCACCTCTTCATTAGCTCATGCCCCACTTGGTGACCTGACAGGTGCTTCTGTCCTTGAGGAGAGTCTTAAACGGAGGGGCAGAGCCCTGGGTTGACTGTAGAAGTTCCTTCCTTGTCCCTGTAGCCGGAGCAGGCAAGGGGGACGTTACCTATGAATCATGATACTGTATTTTGAAGAGCTCACCGGAAGGTGTTTTTCTTCCTCCACAAAGACAAAATTCTCATAGAAACATTTTTCCCTTTTTATCTTGCCCTGCCTTTGACAGGTCTCTTATGTCATCTGGACGATGCGTGCATCAGCAACCCCTGCCACAAGGGGGCGCTGTGTAACACCAACCCTCTGAATGGCCAGTACATCTGCACTTGTCCCCAGGGCTACCGAGGAGCTGATTGTACTGAGGATGTGGACGAATGTGCTATGGGTGAGTGCACAGAACCTTCCTCTTCCTCGCAGTGTCGGCTGCGCTCAGGAAGTACGTTAACAGAATCAGGTCTTACTCTAGGGGCACGTTTCATCCCAATCCCAGATCTGTCCTGTTACCTCCCTCCTGTTAAAACCAATCACCAGCATCGCCATGTCTTTTCTTTGGAGCATTGAAATAAATGGATGAGCCGTATCGGACTCTTCATTTAAGGCTCTGCCGTGGTGACAGTTCAGACGGAAGAAGGGGAGATGTACAAGAGCCGAGCTTGCCCGAGTCTTACTTGTTTGCGTTGTTGTTGTTGTTGTGGGGCCCAGTAAAGAGGTCGTGTGCTGGGAGCGAGCCAAGGCCCTTGCACCTGCAGGACATGCGCCAAGTTTCTGGTCCTGATAATTATTTTTTGGAAGGGCTTTTAGGAAGTGCTCGGGGGTCCCTGGAACCACTCCTGGTGATTCTGAGTCAGCTGGCTCAAATGTCTTGCAGTTCACACCTCTGAGACAGCTTGGGCCCACCAGCAGTGCTGGAGGTCACCTGGGGTCTACCTGGTGGTACAGTGTAAAGGATCCATCACCAGGACTGCAGCTGATGGTACTCAGGGGCCTCCTGGTGCCGGAAGTTGTAATTGGTTACATGTGCAAGCAAGCCTGGTGCCCCTGACACCTCACTTATCTCCCGGACCCCAGTGTGCTATTTTCCAAGAAGAAAATAGAAAGTTAGAAACCAGATAATTCCACTTCTGGCCTTAATGCAGTAACTGTGGACTCTGCTTCTTTTTAGTTTTTCCTTTTTGGGCCATCCCCAGTGATGCTCAGGGGTTACTCCTGGCTTTGCACTCAGGAATTACTCCTGCTGGTGCTCGGTGGACCATATGAGATGCTGGGAGAGTCGAATCCGGGTTGGCCGCGTGCAAGAACGCCCTACCCGCTATGCTATCGCTCCGGCCCCGACTCTGCTTTTGTAGTCCACCTTTGTGCAAACTCTGTGAAGTGCTTTGAGCTCCATAATTGGTCCTTATGTTTTCCAGCCAACAGCAATCCTTGTGAGCATGCAGGAAAGTGTGTGAACACAGATGGCGCTTTCTACTGTGCATGTCAGAAGGGGTTTGCTGGGTCACGGTGTGATATGGACATCAACGAGTGCCATTCAGACCCCTGCCAGAATGATGCCACTTGTCTGGATAAGATTGGAGGTTTTACATGCCTTTGCATGCCAGGTACGTGGATTCATCCATGTGCAGGCAGGAGTGGAAGCACCACGCTTCTCTTGGGTGGAGAATTCATTACAGTGTGACAGTTCCATTTGATCTATCCAGTTTGATTCCCGGTAATAGCAGGTTCCCAGCCACGAGCACCCTCAGTGTCAGTAAGGCAAGGCTGGAACTCTTAGTGCCAGTTTCATTTATCAAACTTTAGGTACATATAAGAGGAAATTTCAGAATGATTTGCTTTGATGTCAGTGTTCTTTGATTTAATAAGGGATTTGCCATAAAAGTGTTTCAGCAGCCCATTTTCCCAGTGCCCTGACATACTGCAAAAAAAGTATGCCATTCAGTGTTACAGAAATGAATTTTACCTATAGTTGTACAGGAATTTGTTCTTTATCCATCGTGACATACACATGCTTTATTGTATTTTGGGCTCTTCTGCAGAGGCCATATTTTTGGGGCATGGTTAAATCAAGCTTTAATGATGGCTGTCAGTTGTTTCTCTCCCTGTCTAAGATGAGAGACTCTCATCAGGGGGGTGAGACCTGACCCTGGGGGGCACCAACATCGCTGACTCAACTTGTCTTTTGGAGCATGGTAAGGGGATCCCGAGGGCCTGATGACACTCTTCTTAGAGCAAGTCTGGACTGCTCAGATAAATGGGGCACAGTCTTTGTTGGAATACTAGGTCTTGCCAGGGTCTGTGGAGGTCACCTCTGACCTTTGTTTAGTGGCACAGATAGCCCCCGATCTCTCCCATCCTGCCGATACAGACAGTGATAATTTTCCATCATGATAGAACCCCTTTGCCCTCTGTAGATGTATTCACGCTCATACCAGATAAAGCGTTCTTTGTAAAACGCACACTTTCTCGGCTAGGCATGCCCTTCTGTTTTTCTGAGCCACTTGTGTGGTCCACTTTCGTTCAGGTTTCAAAGGTGTGCATTGTGAGCTGGAGATAAATGAATGTCAGAGCAACCCCTGTGTGAACAACGGGCAGTGTGTGGACAAGGTCAATCGCTTCCAGTGTCTGTGTCCGCCTGGTAAGTGCCCACCACCTGCCCCCATTTCTTTGAGAGCGCAGAGCTGCCTCAGTCAGCGGAAGGGATGAGAGGGCGGCGTGTGTGGGCTCCACATGAGGAAGTCATTAAAATGAGCACTTGGGGAGAGGAGCTGGGGTGCAGAGGCCGGGAATTGGCTAGCGCATTTTCCGACTCCTTTGTGGTCAGCAGTCCGTGTCTATTCTGAGTGACCCTTGGCCCCTCTGTCTGTGTGTATATTCCAGAAAGTTCATACCTCACAGAAGCCTTAGTTGTAGGCTATTTGGGATATAGTTTTTCCCCCAGGGGTCATATTCTTGAAGCCGTTCTGTGAGATGAATATTTTTAGTCGTTTTTTACCCATGAGTCCAAAAACAGACAGCACAAGTCAATGTTTTCCAAAGAACGCGCTGTCTCTCCTTTTGCTCCCAAAAGCGATTGTTGAGAAGAAGCCAAACTTGCTGCTCTGGCTGTGGCCTCTCTTATTGTTGCTTCAGAGAGGTGGTCTCAGTCCCCTGGAAGCCAGTCCACTCCCTTGCCGAAGGCTCTGCCTAGAACCATTCAGTCCCTGCTTGAACTAGAAGTGAGTTCTGTGGGAGAGAGCAGTGGTTACAGAGATCGGCTGGTGCCTCTGACGCCCTGGGCTCACCCACTCTCCCTGTGGCGGAGAATAATTGAACATTTAGCTGACCTGTTAGTACGAAGCCATGATAGTAACGTCACCCAGTCCCTCATGAATATCCTAGTAAAGGAAGATGTAGAGGATGTAGACTAAACTTGTGACTTGTGCCCTTCGAAGGTTTCACTGGGCCATTTTGCCAGATTGACATTGATGACTGCTCCAGTACTCCGTGTCTGAACGGGGCCAAGTGTATCGATCACCCGAATGGGTATGAGTGCCAGTGTGCCACAGGTAAGACCTTATTCACTTTCGGATTTCCCTGGTAGGTATGCTTGAACAAAATTGGAGGGATGAGGGAGATCGCCCTCATAGCGCCCCTTCTAGGCCAGTTCACTCACGGGGCTGCTCTTTGGTTGGAGGGAACTTCTAACGTGCTTTCCTGCTGCTCTCTGTGTTTGCCTATATGACACCAGGTTGCTTCTCCCCACCACAGTGCTCTGTCTGTCCGGGGCATTCCCATTCTTTGTCCATGTCTCGCTGGGACGGACTTGGGCAGCCGTGAGTTTACAGCTGGCCTGACTTAACTCCTTTGGGAAGGGGAAAAATTCCAGTTGAAAACTATTTTTCTCTGGACCTTCTCAGCAGGAGGTCAGTCTCTGTGTTTCTTGAGGCAAATGACTGAACAGGGGTCCAAAAATCTAAGGGCAGTTGTGTGCAAATGCAGAAGTTTTCTGCATCGATGGTGACTCATGTTCTGAGCGGTAGGTGTGTGTCTAAACCTGCGAGATAGTCTCTCTGGGAAAATCTGTTCCTCTTCCCTGACTTCGCTACTGAGGTCAAAAAGAGTCTGTTTTCTGTTTACAAATAGTCTACATTTCTGATCTGTAGCCACATTTCTCAGTTGAGACTGGATTCGAAGAAAATGAAGGTCTCTTATTACATATTGGCCTCTCTGAAGACCAGTATGGAAGAGAAGCACTAGACATTGGAAAAGGTGATTTTTCCAGTTTCTGTTTTGTCTGTTTCAGAGAAAAGAAAGCTGTGGATATAATCCAAGGCATTTTTTCCTACGTTGGAAAGGATTTTAAACCACGTGAACTTGATTCCTTTCTCTGATCACAGAAAAACAAACCAAGTCACATAAACAAGCATAGACAATGGTTCACTCATATTTTAATCTTGCCACTTAATTAGGTCTACTTAGATTAGATCCTGTCGAATGAACTGCTTAACTTTTTTTTTCTCATTTTATTTATTGAGTCTGTGGTTTCCAGTTCTGTTAACCATGGTTTCCATGCAGTGAATTCTAACACCACTCCCTTCATTAGTGTGCCATTCTTTGCCCAAGGACCCCAACACCTCTCCTCAACTCCCTCACCAGCTCAGTTGCGTGGATCAGTTCTCCTATTGTGTTGCCTATAGACCTTTGTTAACTTGCTGTGTGTCTTTATGAAGTTTCTGCCTGCTCCCCCTCCACTTTCGTCTTTAATTGGAGAAGTTTCAGTTTTGTTCTCCTATAACCAGATTATGTTCAAGATGATGAGCTTCATGAAGAGAGATTAAAACTGTTCAACTCATGTTTAAAATGTGGGGTGGTAGGTGAGGGGAAGGGCCCCACTGAAGTCTTTTCAAAGAGATTTCATTTTCTTTTTGTTCTCAGGCTGTACTCAGAGATGCTTGGGGCTTACTCCTCGGTCTCTCCTGGGGTTCTTGAGGGACAGCGTAGTACAGAAATCAGCCTCTTGTCTTCTGCACACGAAGCACATGCCCGGCCCACATAGTTGTACCTCTGGGCCTATGGTTGGCTTATTTAAGTGTTAAAGGAAGGAGATTGTATTTTTCCATTTCTCTTTGAAATCATCGTAACTTGTTTGGTCAGAAAGTAATTATGAAAAACGTGTATGGATATAGATGTACGCATAGCACTTGTGGGAATTGTTGAGAAGAATACAGAAGAGTTCTCTGCCCTTCGGGATCAGAATTGGGTGAATGTGGTACAGGAAGCTAGCAATACAGAATTTTGTACGTTGGATTTGGGTGGAACGGAATAGAAAGGTAAACACTACAAATGAAAAATATTGAGAACCATGCTCCACTGAGGCCCATTAAGAAGTGAAGCACCTTTGCAGTGGAATCATTGATCTTTTAGATTATCAAAAAGGTTTTTGACTTCTCTAAACTTGACTTGAAAACCTGATGTGAGGCACGCTTTCTAGGCTTGCCTTACAGTCATTCGTGCCGTTTCAGCCGCTCATTTCCTGCAGTGTGAACTAAGACTTGGAATGCGTAGAGTAAGTGTGTGTGTCGACTCATTTGGAACATTTGCCTCAGTTTCTCAAGACTCCTTCAAAACTTTCTTCCCAAGGATTTACTGGTGTGTTGTGTGAGGAGAACATTGACAACTGTGACCCTGATCCTTGCCACCATGGCCAGTGCCAGGATGGCATTGATTCCTACACCTGCATCTGCAACCCAGGGTACATGGGTGCCATCTGCAGCGACCAGATAGACGAATGTTATAGCAACCCCTGCTTGAATGACGGCCGCTGCATCGACCTGGTGAACGGCTACCAGTGCAACTGCCACCCCGGCACGTCCGGTAAGCTCTCGCTCCTGATGGTGCCTTTGGAGTGTTTGCAGAATCTCAGAAATAACTTACGTGGATGTCTGAATGTGTCTGTGATAGGAGTATGTTTAATTCTCAGGAAGAGCCAGAATCATGTCAGAGGCAGAAGGCTCTTGCCAGTGGAGAAATGAGGAAAGCTTTACGGCTCCGATGATGTTGTGTGCTTTGTTAGAATTAGAAGAAACGCGTCCAAAAATATGAGATGATTATAAAATACTGAACGCCCTTGACTTTGACTTGTCTTTTTTTTTTTTTCTTGACCCTTCGTAGTGCTCAGGTTAAAGAAGCTGGTTGTTCCTGTCCCCCTTCTCTCTCCCTCACTCCCTCTTCTCTTGTCCATCCATCGTTTTTCTGTGTCAGGAACGTTGATGTCACCCCTTCGTTGTACGTGTTGTCTGTAGGAGGCCTGCTTGGGGTGGTGCTGGTGTTCTAAGGGAGGGGAGGGCTTTGCAGCCTGCCGCAGCCGCTGCCCATTAGAATGCAAGGCAGCCCTTTCCCACTTTCCTTCATCACCGTTTCCCTCACTGCAGGGTTTTGTGACGGCCTGCTATTTCTTGCCTGGGAATGTGAAATTATTTTCTCAAGCAGCAGCATTTTATAGGTTTTACTCCATTCTGTTTCACTTGTTTGGGGTAATAGTTACGGTCACAACTGTGGTTAATGGACAGAGAAGTCCTATGTCTCAGATCAAAGGAAAATGTTTTAGTGGAAGCATAGTAGAAGATTAACCAGTGTGTGCCTTTGTCCGAAGGACCTGCCGATATTAGGAGTGATAGATTGAGACTCATTTTCAATTTAGAAAGTAGCCCTTGTAGGGGGCAAAGGTAGAGGAGGTGGTTGACTACCCTCATTTTCTTTTCTTTCCAAATCTGTTTCTTCAAAGTTGTCAGAGACCCTGGTCTTCATCCAGGACCTCGTACATGCCAAGTTTGGAAACAGAGTCCTTTTTAAGCTGCTCAAGCATATGAAAAACATCCCATGCCATCACAATTGGAAATGCTCTCCCTCTCTCCACGTTTAGATAACTCGCTAAAAGGGCTGAATAGATCTTTGTGAAACCTTCCAAAAGCGATTTTCTTCCGGCTGGTCCCCAGACATGAGAAATTGCAGTCTGAAAAGAAATTTGAGAGATTTACAAGCAGTTGAAGGGACGCCTTTAAAATGGTAGGGCTGGTCCAGGGTTTGCTCTCGTTCTCATCACGGCCGTCTGAGTCTGGTGAGTGTGGCTTGGCACACAGGTTGTTTTCACTGGGATTCTGTCGTGATGTGGATGGATCAGGTGTCTTCCCTCGGGAGCACAGAGGGGGAGAGGTGAGCAGCTGTCCCTTAGAATGGCAGGCAGTAACTCTGAGCGGTATGCAAGCAATGCTGAGAAGCAAGGAAGGCCCCGAGTCTCCCAGAAAACAGCCCAGGCCATTCCTCTGGCTGCTTGGAAAACGAGAGATGCAGGGAACACAGAGAAATCTCCATGTGTTCGTGGTGAACACAGACCTGGAATGTTCGAGGGGCCGGAGTGAAGGGATTCACTCAGTTCCTTATGACTCAGCTAAAGTTATGGGGCAGTGCTCCATGATCCATTCATAAGATGGACCTGAGTTGTTCAGTTGGAGTCTGGATGGGTGAATGGATACCAAAGGTGGCTTGGTAATTTACCCCGTACGATTGTGGTTTGTCTTGTCACTCCCGGGGCGCTTAGAATGAACTCTCCTACCCAGAATCACTGCTGAAGTCTTTTACCTATGATCGTTGGGGAACCGTCTTCAGGTAACATGTTTAGGGATTTGTATCTCACATCTGCCAGCCTGTGAGTTTACTCTTCACGAAAAATAAGGAAATAACAACTACAAAGGAATTACATGAAAATACCCAGAAGCATCTTTCCAATTTGATAATCCTTCGCAGAGGTTAGCAGAAAGCAGTAAGTTCCAGCCCGTAGGTCACACATTCATATTCCAGAATCTCGGTGAGAGCTCACTGAGCCACGTTGGATTGGGTTCTACTTCTTGCTCACATAAAACAGAGATCAAGCAGGAATACTGGCTAAGGTTCAAACTTCTCTGAACGGTGTACAGTCATCCCCAGGAGAATGGGAACCCTGGTGGGAGGCAGTGTCACTTCACTCACTGCATGGAGCGAAGGTTAAGGGATTCAGAGAACTGGGCCTCAGCTGTGCTGCCACAATTTTGCAAATTCCTAATAAGGTAGGTGAGACAGACAGTTGGGGTTGACTGGAGGATAAGAGGAAAATTATAGTGGGAAGAGAATCCTTTACACATCAAATACTCAATAATAGAGCCTTTACACATCATGACACAAAAGGTCTATATTCTTTCATTTCTCGGTGGACACTTAGGGTGTTTCCAGGTCCTGGATAAACTTAGGAGTGCATGTATTTTTTTTTTTGAGTAAGTTTTTTTTAAGTTTATTTTCATTTTTGCTGGGGCAGGCCTCCTAAGCAGTGCTCCGGAAGCCAGGGCCCCACCAGTGATTCTGGCTAACAGGGCCATGGGCGCAGCCCACAGGCTCAAGGACATATCTGCATGGGGCCCATTGGGCTGGGAGAATCCGGCCACCCAGCAGTGCTGGAGGCTTGAGGGCTGTATGGTGCTGGGAATAGAACCTGGGTCAGGTGCACGCTAGGCATTCCCCTTAATCATCAGACTGTCCCCTGGCCCCTAACCAGTGCTTTTTAAATTCCTGCCTTGGCATTGGTTTCTGGGTCAGCCGGGTTCATATGAGGGAGCTTTAGGAAGAGTTCTTTAAAATTCTCTCTTTTTTAGAACCTGCCCAGAGAACTGAGGTCACTCCAGGTGGAGAAGTGGATGGCAGTGGTGTGAAGTCCTGGCACTTTGGTGTTGGGGCATCGGACGGTAGTTCCTACATACTCCTGAAACATTAAACACTTATGCTCTTATAAACCAGTGTTACTTTCATGAAAACATTGCTCCTAGGGCCAGAGAGATAGTGTAGCAGGGAGGTGCTTGCCTTGCAGGTGGGTTCGATCTCGGGCATCCCCTGCAGTCCATTGAGCTCCCGGAGCAATCAGGAGTGATCCCTGAGCAGAGAGCCAGGAGTAAGCCCTGAGCACCCTCTAAAAACAAATAAAATAAAATAAAATAAAATAAAACATTGTAAGTATACCATCACTCCTTGCTTCCCCAACATGTCTGCTCTGTTGGCTTCTAAACTAGATCTTTTGGGGTCTCTTCTTCTTGCTGAAGGTAGTAGTCAGTTCTTACTTCAGGCGGTATTGTCCCATGTGCGGATGTGTCTTTGGTGTGTTGTGGGAGCAGTTCGTGGTCTTTCCGCATTACCAGCCTGCCTCTGAGTCCTCTGCTTTTAGACCAGGAGATGACAGCTCTCCTTCCTATCTGTAGCTGGCTCTTTAGGATTCATCCTGAACTATGCGTATGACAGTCACTCTTAAACTTAAGAGTGGTGGAATCAAATTCCAAAACTAATTTTCATGTGAACACTTATTTTTTGTCTCCTATTTTATGAGCACTTATTGACAGTTGTTTTTTTGGAAATGATAGGTTTAATCCATTCACTTAACATTTGCTAAATACCTAGGTCTGGATAAGCTTGATTTGTTGGTCAGTTCTTCCCTCTTCTCTCCTTGCCTCCCTTTCCCTCCCTCCCTCCCTCCCTCCACTTGGCAGGGACCATGCAGTGCTGGAGATCAGACACGACACGGGGCTCCCCCACAAAGCATACACTAGCCCTTCGAAACATCTTCCAGGTCCTTTCAGTTGTTTTTTCAAATTAAAATTTGATTACATGAAAAATAAAAGCTGTCCATTTAAGTTTTTTTCAAAATGACCCCTGCCCCATAGCACTGTAGCACAGTCCTCCCGTTGTTCATCGATTTGCTCGAGCGGGCCCAGTAACATCTCCATTGTGACCATTGTTACTGTGTTTGGCATATCGAATGCGCCACGGGTAGCTTGCCAGGCTTTGCCGTGCGGGCGAGATACTCTCGGTAGCTTGCTGGGCTCTCCAAGAGGGGCAGAAGAATTGAACCTGGGCTGACAGGGTCAGCCGCGTGCAAGGCAAACGCCCTACCCGCTGTGCCATCACTCCAGTCCTCCCCCCGCCCCCGCTTTTTTTGTTTTTGTTTTTCTGGAGACAACTCAGTTATTTATGCCACAGCATTAATTTCTGTGTATTTTTCATTAAATAGTGGGTACATGTTTATTAAAGGTCAAAATATAATATACTTCCAAATTAATACTTTGCCTCTTTCAGCAGTCATTATTAAGTGAAGTTGTCATGTTGTTTTGTTTTGTTTTAACTGTGACTACATGAAGCTGAAGAATGCCATGACCCCTGGCACAGTGGTGCCAGGTTTCAGTTCCTGCAGAGGTGGGCATAGTCAATCTGACCGCCATTGCTCTTGTAACACGCCAATGTTTCCACACCAGTGCCAACATTTGTGCTGCTGAGAAATCAGTGAGGTGATCAGTACAGAGGCTTAGCATGATAATAAAGGTGTTTTGACACTGTGACTCCCCTGACGTGTCTGGAGACTGCACCTGGGGAGGTGCTGTTTGCGCTGTCCAGAACTGGCTGGCTATTCTTCAGAACCTCAGGCAGTGATTATTCAGACTTCCATAAGAACTGAGCAGCCCCCTTTTTTTCATCGTTGCAGGTGCTAACTGTGAAATCAATTTTGATGACTGTGCCAGTAACCCTTGTGTCAACGGCATCTGCATGGACGGTGTTAACCGGTACAGCTGTGTCTGCTCCCCGGGGTTCACAGGTAAGGCCTCTTTGTTATCGGGATGTACCTCCGTTAGACTTTCTATTAGAAAAGGGCGTGGAAAGAATGATTCTGGGCGTTTCCTATTCTCTGGCTCTTGGAAGGTTAGAAGTTCATTTCTGTGCTTCTCGGGCCAAGTTTTCTTTTTCTGCTTACTTGCATTCTCTAAACACTTAACATGAAATTTTTCATTGGAGGTTTTAGACTAAATGTTTATAGCTATCTAAAAAGAATTTCTATTTAGACAATGGATTTCTCTCACTAAGCTTGACTCACAGAGCTTTCAGTGCCCCCGGTACTTTTCTGCACTTCAGATTTTCCATAAGGGAAGCCAAGGTAATATTCTATAAAAACACTAACTGCTTTTTAAATACTTTCTGTTATGGGACATTGCTGGGTGAGACTGGAGCTTATAAGACTTAACTTTATTTGGCTGGTACAAGTGAGTTCCTTTTTTTTCTCCTCGGGAAGAAAAAATAAGTCATAATTCTTACATGATAAGCAACTAGAGCATTGACATCTGCATGCACACAAACATGCCCTTTCCCCTTTTTGTTATTAGTCAGGTCACTTTTATCTTTTGATCTTCTGGTCAAAAAGTGCTCGAGGCCTCTGCTAAGGAAAGCTGAGGCCCCAGGGGCCCAGTCTGTCCTGTGCCCGTTCTCCTCGGCGCCTCCCGGTTAGGACGAGCCCAGGGAGCCGACCATCACCGAGTCCCAGCTGTGAGAAGCTTCCTTTAGAACACTTGACACAAAGAGCTCACAGAGCATTCAGAATCATGAGTTGTCGGCACTGCCTCTTGCTTGCTCGGAATCAGTTGCCTGGGCGTTTTCCAAGCTGGCTCCCACGTGGCGTGATTGGAACATGCTCCGTAGACGCGATGACAAAAGCTCTTCAGTACTGCTCGGGCAGCCAGTTGTTCGTCGGTGTTCCGAAGATGCTTCCCTGATGTTAAGTGACTGCCAAGAGAATTCACGAAAATCCCCACCAAGAGGATAATAGGTGCAAGTTAAATGGGGAATGGGAAGAGATTAGCCACCTTTATTGAGGATTTATTTCGAACTGGGTTTGAAATCAAACATCTGATTTCGTTTAGTTGTTAGGGCAATTATGATTCCTCTGGTGCTGACGGGACGGCAGAGCAGGGAGGTTGTGCAACACCACCAGCAGCCCGGCCAAGATTCCACCCAGGCAGTCTTCAGGCGCTCCTCGTTCCCGCCACCCTGCACAGCCAAAGGGGCTGCCTCTTGAGGTTTCTTTCAGATATGTGAGCCGTAGACTGAACTTATTTATTTTTTTTAAATATCAGTGAATCATAGTTTCTCTCTTTTTAACATCAGGAAGGTCAAGAAGCTATGACTTAGCCTAAAAATAGTCTAAAATAAATTGAAGGTGCACCGTGAGACTGCACAGAAAAGCAGTGGAATGTTTTGGTTACTGGGTGTTACCCTGTTCTTGGAACTGTTTTCTACCTCTTGTTTTGAGGTTTTAAAAAATCAGCTTCTAAAATATCACAGACACTTGTGGCATATACTCATGAGCTGTAAATGTGAAGTGTTAAATTCTTTTCTCATTTTAATTCCTTTTAAAAACCATTTAATAACATCTGACAGATTAAGGAGTTTGGTTTTCTTTTTTTTTTTGTAGGAGTACTGCTATTTATTTAATCATTGATTAGCCGATTGAACTGGGCATGAACTCCACCTTAATTTTTTTCATTTTTTTCTTTTTATATTTATTTATTGAATCACTGTGGGAAAAGTTACTAAGCTTTCAGGTTTAAGTCTCAGTCATACAATGATCAAACAACATTCCCTTCACCAGTACTCATTCTTCACCACCAAGAACCCCACTATATCCCCCCTCCCACCCCTCCAAATGCCTGTGAGGCAGATGATTTCTACTTAACTCTTCTCTACATTGATTACATTCATTATTTCGACAAAAGATGCACCGTTATTGCTTAGAATTTCCCCCCAAATAATCAGAATTGCTGAAAAAGGCATTGTGAAATATTCTGTCCTTTATAGCTGGTTATGAGAATCATATAATGTCACATGGCCACGATTTTGGATTTCTGCAAAGAGCCAGATAATTACGAGATTGGTTTCTGTGTGTCTGGTGTTATGGCCGTGCCAGAAAGCCGCTCATGGGGGGCAACTCATGACCTCGGTAGGGTGTGAAGGATGAGCTGGTACCATCCCCCTTCCCATGAGACTGCAGTTGCCCCTTCACCGCTGGCCCGTACCTGGCTTTCCTGTAAGCTCTGAGGTGGCGGCCACCTTGCTGCCAGCGGGGGAAAAGGTGGAAGGGAGCAACACCCTTTCCCCCCGGGGGAGGCATGGCGCAGTAGTTTAACGCATGGTCCATTCACTTTTCTGCAAGCTGCTGGGCTCTGGACTAAGTCCTTTTGCCTCTGGAGCCATGGCCATGCCAGAGAGCTGCTTGTGGGGGGCAACTCATGACCTCGGTAGGGTGAGAAGGACGAGCTGGTACTATCCCCCTTCCCATGAGACTGCAGTTGCCCTGTCACCATTGGTTCATAGCTGGCTTTCCAATAAGCTCTGAGGTGGCGGCTACCTTGCTGCCAGGTGGGGAAAAGGCGGAAGGGAGCAACACTCTTTCCCTCCCGGGGAGGCATGGCACCGTAGTTTAACGCATGGTCCATTCACTTTTCTGCCGCAAGCTTCCGGGCTCTGGATTAAGTCCTTTTGCCTCTGTAGCCATGGCCGTGCCAGAGAGCCACTTGTGGGGGGCAACTTGTGACCTCGGTAGGGCGTGAAGGACGAGCCGGTACCGCCCTCCTTCCCATGAGACTGCAGTTGCCCTGTCACTGCCGGCTCATACCTGGCTTTCCAATAAGCTCTGAGCCGGCGGCCACCTTGTATGCAGTCCAGATGCATTTCTGCCAAAAGCCACTGGGTTTTATGATTTGTTTCTGAGCCTCAGGTATCATGACTATTAATCAGCTTGATCAGGAGCCAGAGAGGCCGTTTGTAGGCAGCGACGACTCGGGGTATCGTTGGGATGGGGAGAAAGAGTTGGCTCCACCCCCATGTGGTGAGGCCCCAGGTGTCTCGTCACTGCAGGCCCAAACCTGACTGTGGCCTCTGGAGGATGGTGGTCAACAGGCCACCAGGGGGAACAGGCCAAGGCACGAAACCCATTCCCACCTAGAGTGGCCCAGCCCCAGTAACCTACTGCAGGAACAGGACGCATTTCTGCCAAAAGCCTTTGGGTTCCGAGATTCGTCCCTGAGTCTCTGGGGTCATGGCCATTAAGCAGCTCGATCAGGAACCAGAGAGGCCTTGCCTCCAATCATATAGCTGAGCCAGAGGTGGTTTGTGGGTGTGTCTCCCACATACCTAACTTTTGGCCGTTCACTTTCTTGGTAAACTTTGCCTCAAGTTTTTGGGGTCTGGCCAAAGGCACAGCAGCAATTTTGGGGTATCTGAAAGTCTGAATGTGCCATCAGGCTGCTGATGCACTCACCTCACAGATAACAGATTGACCTGCTAGCGGCACCATACCCCCTGGAGTTTGGTTTTCTTAAAGATACATTCTCTGTTCTCCTCGGACCTTCTTATGCTAACTGATTAAATGGGGAAATGAAAACTCATGTGACATTTTTATCAATTACTTAATCCGTTTTAAAAATCACTTGTATGGGCTGGAGAGATACCACAGTGGGTAGGGAGCTTGCCTTGCATTCAGCCAACCTGGATTCTGTCCCTGGCATGACGGATGGTCCCCTGAGATCTGTCAGGAGTGAGAACCAGGAGTGAGCCCGGAGGACAGGCAGATGTGGCCCTAAAACAAAAAATAAATAAAATGAAAAAAGAACTGTTACTGTTTTTTGGGACACACTGTGGTGCTCAGGGCTTACTTTTAGATATGTGCTCAAGGATCACTCCTGTTGGGCCCAGGGGATACGGTGTGCCAGGGATCTAACCCAGATCTGCGCATACAAGGCAAGTGCTCTGCCCTCTGTCCTATCTCTCCAGCCCCAATAAAAATAATTTTATATGGTTATTTGTTGTCTTCTCATTACTGTCCAAAAATAGTAATATTGAAAAAAGACATGAAAAATAGGAGTAACATAAAAAAATAATAAAACAAAAAATAACATAAAAGAAACAAGGGACTCCATTAAATTAAAAGCTTCCATAAACAAAGAAAGCAGTAATTTGAAGAGATATCATATAGAATAAAAAGAAATATTTGGGAATAAAATGCCTAATAAGGGAGTAATATAAAAATATATCAAGAACTTACGCAAACCAATCACAATAAAGCAAGTACTGCAACAAAAATAAAGAACCATACTGAAGACATTCTGATGGATAGTAGGTATATAAAAAGATGTACCAGATCACTGATCCAGGAAATGAAAATCAAAACCAGTGTCATCAAGGGAATGGAAACCAAAACCACAATGTGATACCATTTCATTCTACTATTTTAGAAGACCAAAGATAAAAGTTGTGACGATACGGAGGAGAGGTAACCATCTAACACTATTGAGAAGATTTCTCTCAAAAGCTTAAAAATTGGGCTGCCATATGATTGCCATTCTTTGGCACCTTTTGAACCTATATCCAGAGGAAACAAAATCAGTATCTTGGAGAGATAATCTACACACCCTTGTCCCTTCCAATATTGTTTTAAGCATTAAGATTTGGAGATAGCTTTGTCCTTGAATAGATGAGCAAATGAAGAGATATACTGTTTACACACACACACATACGCTCGTGCAAGAAGTAAATTTTTGACAACATGGATAAAACTCCATGAATTATGCTAAGTGAGGTTAGTGGGCCAAATATAGTATATTATCACATATGGACAATATATCAATGAATACTGATGAATAGTGCATACCAGAGCCAGTAGTTATGTGTGTGAAGAAATTGGGGGTCTCCGTCTTACAGATCCAACCTTTTAACTAATAGATAAATTCTGGAGAGCTAACACAATGACTACAGTCAGTAATACTGTGCTCAGAGCTGTGAATAGTGCAGATCTTAAAGCCAACTAGAAAAGAAATGATAATTCTATGACATGATAAAAACTTGTATTGGCTAACTTTTGGTCATAATCACACCGCAATATAAACTCATACAGATCGGAATCTTAAACTTATGCAATGTTAAGAGCCAGTCACATCTCAATATAAACAAAACAAACCCAGAAAAGTAGATGAGGTGGTCTAATTTTCCCCATTTAACAAATGAGGCAGCTGAGAAATAGAGCCTGACAAGCTGCTGATCTCATCGCTTGAGCGGCATAACCAGGGCCATGAGTCCTCAGAAGGTTTGTCTTTTTTTAAGTCACCGTCTCCTAAAACTGTCTAGGACAGGGAAATGTTCGGTCGGTATTGCTAAATGAATGAGTAGGACATTCATCTTGACTCTCAACATCTGGATTACACTGCACCTTCATTCATTAAATCCTCCTTTACTTAGTACGAAAAGGGACACACATCTAAACTTCTCATTCAGGAATTCCTGAGCCCACCACGGTGCTCGGGTGGACAGGGCTTTAAGGTAGAGATCTGCTCACGTGACAGCAGATAGTCCCAGTTATAGGTGATACAAGGAGGTCTTTAGCCTTCTTGAGAAAATTGGGTTGGAAATTGATTGTAGAGAGTTTTAAAACGAAGGGGAAACAAACCTTGTGAGAGGAGTGGGTTTGAGATATTTTCCCAAAAGTCCACAGAAAAGAAACATGCTTTTTTTCTACACCGGATGTCAGCCCGAGGCTAACTTTGTAGGTGAAATGTTTTGGCTTCTGTCTTGGTGCGTATGGCGAACATATTTAAAAGAAAGAAAATTCGGAAGTTGAGGTTAAGGAAATAGTATTTTCGAATGAGTTAATAAAGAACAGAAGGAAAATCAGCATCCACTAGCAGATTACAACCTCTTTTTCCTTTTTCTCTCTCACACACACTCCCTCTCTCTCTGTATGTATGTGTTTGTGTGTGTGTGGTTTTGGTGAGAGAACCCAGAGTCTCTCATATTCAAAGCTTTCCCACTGAGCTACGTCCTTGACCCAGATTATGGATCTTAACCACAAGTACCACCAGTTAGGAGCAGCAGAGGGTGAAAAATTGTTGCTCTCCATTCTTTAAGGGGGTGTGTAACTATTTCGTTTGGAATTTCCTATCCTAAATGCTGGGTTGCTCTTTCTTGAATTAAAATGCGTGCTTTCATCTGAACCAGAATCGTCCTTGGAATGAATAAAGTCCTTCATCGTGGCATTTTGATTTTTTTTTGCCATCTGTTTCCGTAATTATTTTAAAATTTCATGTTATTTAGAAAATAGTTATGTATGATATTCAGCAAAGCAAAACTTATTTAACCAAGTGTATGTTAGAAGAAATGTCAAGGTGACAGCAGACATCCTTCTTTTGTTTTTTGCTTTTTTGGGTCATACCTGGCGATGCACAGGGATCGCTCCTGGCTGATGCACTCAGGAATTACTCCTGGCGGTACTCGGGGGACCATATGGGATGCTGGGAATCGAACTGGGTTGGCCTCGTGCAAGGCAAAGGCCCTGCCCGCTGTGCTATCGCTCCAGCCCTAGCAGACATCTTTTCAATGTGCAGGCAGTCCTGGGTATATTTTAGAGAAAGCACTTTCTTTTCAGTATCATGTATTCGAAACATTTATATAATTAAGTGATCAGAAACAATACTGTTTTTGTTATAGTTTTTGATCCACCTACGTTTAAAATAATTTTATTTTTAAATGCATCCCTTTTTTAAAATGTGGTTTGTGGTACCCGATGCATCGCAATCCATAGTAATGGCACTGAAGAATCTCACGTGTGTTTTTTCCGTGTTCAGGGAACCTGGGAGCCCCTCCTAGTAATACTTGCCCAACTGGACGAGGAGAGTCAGTTGCTGGGGACAGCAGTGCAGAGCGCTTGGTTCCGTAGGTTGGTCCTGTCAGTGCTGGGGATTTCCAGGGCCACACCACCTCACGCTGTGCTGGAGGTCCTCAAAAATGCAGAACATAGTTCCTTGACCTTTGATTGCTCTCTCTGAGCCCTAAGAATCTTCCTTTAAGAGAAATCTTTAATGTACTCTTTTGTACACTAATTTTGAGAACCATTGGTCTGCTTTGAATTATTTACTCAGTTATCAGATGACAATAGAATCATACTTAGAATTCCCTTTTTCTAACTCGGAGTGAAAGCTAAGTGGCGGAGTTTTACGACCACAGTGTAATCATTACATTACTCATCCATTCATAAAACTTTCCAGTTCACTGATATTTAGTCTCTGTAGAAATTTAAGTGTTGCCTAACTGGATAATACATTTGCAGTGAACCAGTGGAGAGGTAACAGGCAAGTTTCTGAGAATACAGTGGAATCGAGAGGGAGCAGCAGGCTTCTGGGTAACATCTGGTGTTTTCTTTTGGAGTCCTCTGAAGACTCCCTGTTTCTAAGAAGGAATGAAGAGGAAATACACATGCAGACCATAAACACTGTTCCAGAACTTTGTAAATTGTTTCATTGCCGAAAGACAAGACTGCTCTCTGCTTCCTCACACAGCGCTCAGGGCTGTTGGGTGTCTTACCCCTCAGCCCTGCTGTGTCCGAGGTGTCAACGCGGAACGTGGTGGTGCCCTGTGTCTGTTCCCTAAGCATCTTAGGTGTGACCAAACCTCCCCGTCCTCTCTACAGGACAGAGATGCAACATTGACATTGATGAGTGTGCTTCCAATCCCTGCCGCAAGGGCGCCACCTGCATCAATGATGTGAACAGTTTCCGCTGCCTCTGCCCAGAGGGGCCCCACCACCCCAGCTGCTACTCACAGGTGAACGAGTGTCTGAGCAATCCCTGCATCCACGGAAACTGCACTGGGGGCCTCAGCGGGTGAGTAGCTGCTGTTGCAGTTTCTTGTTGACGAGCCAATTCTGTACTGGCTGTGCCCTGCAAAAGTCGACCCAAGGCCTGCTCAGCTCACGTTTGAGTGGGTCTGTGTCAGTGTTTGAATGCTCAGGGCCTGCATCATCGTGTTAAGACGGTCACTTCTTCTGGACCTTCCCTGGCTGAGCAGGAGAATAAGTATCAGTGTCTCCCTCCTGCTTTCCACAGTGAGACCTTCAGAATTGTGTGAGTCGTTAAAGGGCCGAATTTGTTCTCTCCCAACACCAGTGAGCTCGCAGCAAACTTTCTTGTTTCCCTGATTTAAACGTTTGATGTTTTCAAACTCCAGAGAAATGTGTGGTCAGGAACCCCAGTGTGAGATAGGTCCCGTGAGACACTCTGACACTGCATTCTGGGGCCAGGCTTCTGAGCTGCAGGGCACGGCACCATACAAGGGAATGGGAATGTGGGGAGCATGAAAAATTTGGCAACAGTGAAAGGTGGACACAGTGTTCTGAACACACAGCGACTGAAGAGCAATGCAGAACTAACCATGAAATGATCCAAGGTTTAGTGCTGCTTCACCCATCTTGAATTTCTTGCACCAAAAAACAAAACAAAACAACAGTCACAAGTGGAAAAAATTAAAGAAGGCCTATTGTAGAGGCCAGGAGTCCGGTCACTGTGTTTGCCATACTTCTAGCAGGGCAATGCATTTAGAGACAAGTGGAAAATCAACTTATTTTTAGAATCAATGAACTCTGTATCCTTTTTTCCACATTTAGAATCCTTCAAAATAACACAGCGCAAATCTTTTACCTGAGAATGTACAAACAAGGAATTTTTCACTTCCTTATGCCATTCTTAGTGTTCAACACGTGCAAATTGATGACAGCAAACATAGGGGCTGGAGCCCCTACATCAGCAGAGTCCCTGCTTTGTACATGCTGACCCCAGTTTGGTTTCCCAGTACCCCGGGTGGTCCCCTGAGCCTGCCAGGAGTGATCGCTGAGCACAGCCAGGAGTAAGCCCTGAGCAATGCAGGTGTGGCCCCACAACTCAGAATAAAATATATGTGTCCATAATACCTTCATAGTTGTTCTTTTGATGCTCGGTGTTTTAGGGACTTTCTGGAGAGGGTTTTAGGTCAGAACAAACTTTTTCTCCAGGAGTGCTTCAGAGTGCCTCTGAGTCTGCTGAGTCTTCCTGGTGTTTGTTTTACACACTAAACAAATGGTCGCAAGGCTTGCCTTGCTTTCCTATCAGAAAAGAGACTGGCATCATCCAAGTCACAGTACCTTCCAGAATGGCCTGGTTCATTTTATCAGCCACCATTTATATATGCTTGCTAACTACGTTGATTTCTTTTTCTAACACTTTTGCAAACCAGGCAAATACGGTAAAAATCTCTTTACCAGATAGTGTGTTGGGCACATGGATTTGTCGGGTACATGGAAGAGTAGAAATGGGATCATTCAAACGTGAACTTCCCTCTCTCTCATTTCCTTCCCTTGTCTGGTTCAGCGAGGACTCAGTTGTGCATTGAGCTCCTCAGTGAATAGTCCTGTGTTCTTCCAGGTACAAATGCCTCTGTGATGCAGGTTGGGTCGGTGTCAACTGTGACGTGGATAAAAATGAATGCCTGTCGAGTCCATGCCAGAACGGAGGAACTTGTAACAACCTGGTGAACGGGTACAGGTGTACTTGCAAGAAGGGCTTTAAAGGTGAAAGCACGTGTACTTATTTCTCTCTACTTTCTGCCTTTCATACTTCCTTCCGGATCTGACTCCTTCTTTTTCTTGCTTTCACCTCATTCATTCATAGAGCACGTAACTTCTAAGCACTTAGTGTTTGTGGTGCACTTGGGAAATGACACAAAGAGAGGTAGACAGGCGAAGGTCCTGCTGCTGCAACTAGCACAGATGTAAATTGCTCAAACTACTATTTAAGGTGACTTAGGAGTTAGTACAGCAGGTAAGCTGCTTGTCCTGCATGCAGCTGACCTTGGTCCATAACTATTGAGGCGTGGAGTCTCCTGAGCACCATCAGAGATGATCCTTGAGCGCAGAGCCAGGGATTAGCCCTGAGCACTGCCAGCTGTGGTCCCAAACGAACAGAACCAACGAAAACCTATGTAAGGTGAGAAACTGATCAAATTAGCTTTGGACAGGTATTCTGATTATGAACTTTTGGATGCAGATTTGATTCTGTGATAATCCAAAAGAAATATCTGTTAGTAGGGACAGAGATTTACTACAAAGGTTAAAGTGCTTGTCCTGTGTGATCCCCAGCACTCCAGGGCCTTCTGAACATCTGTGGGAATTATCCCTAGTACAGACAGAGGCGTGATCGACTCCTAGGCATTGCTAAGTGTGGCATAAAAATTCCTCGAAAGGAAGGGAAGGAGGGAGAGAAGGAGGATATTGGAAGTAAAATAAAAATACCATCTTACTGCAATTAGGAGAAACATAAGATGGGAGAATTAATTGTTCAGAACCCTTCCTACAACTCCTATGCATTGTGATAGTCTTAATTGTTAGGTAGGTTAAACATGCCTCCTGATAACTTATCCTACCCCCCCTTTCTTTGACCTACATGTAATGCTCTGGGGTTCCGATGACAGCCCTGGAGATCCTGGCTGGTGCTTGGGTTCTCCAGGCCACCCTGCCGGTACTTGGTGGGGGCCAGCAGAGGTCACGTGGCGCTGAGAACCAGTCCCGAGGCATGGGTCTTAACCCCTCTTCCTGTCTCTGTGGCCCCTCGTGCCCCATTTAAGCCCTGACTAGATACTTGTGGAGAGAACTTGTATTTAGATACAGCAACAGACTTTTCGCCTTAATAAAATTCTTTGTCCAGGGCCAAAGGCTTAGCAGGTAGGGCACTTGCCTTGCATGTATTCAGTCCCCAGCTCTACATATCGTCCTCTGAGCCCTATAAGCAGTGATCCCTGAGCACAGAGCCAGGAGTAAGCCCTGAGTACCGTTGGGTGTGTCCCCCAAATAAACATTCTTTGTCCATTTTGAGAAATTACTTTTATTTTAAGGAATATTAGACTTTCAAACTATTAGAGTATACTATTCCTACGTTTATCTTTTTTGGCCGATTAAGTATGTCTTTTGCTGCGGTGTCAGAAAATTTTCTGAATGGAACGGAGTTCCAGAGGCCTGGAAAAATCAGGGTAGTCTCTGAGATGTTTAACGCTTACTCCTGAGAGGACTGCTTACGAACCACTGTACTAAGGAAATTTGGTTTCTTTCCCCCCTTTCTGTCGGCAGGTTTCAACTGCCAGGTGAACATTGACGAATGTGCTTCGAATCCATGCCTGAACCATGGAACCTGCATCGATGACATAAGTGGCTACACGTGTCATTGCGTACTGCCGTACACGGGTAAGCCCTGCAATGCAAGGACCAAAGGTTCTGTGTCACCGTTCCAGGCTCTGAGTCTCAGCGTTTAGCTGTGCATGACGCTGCGGTGGGCAGCAGAGCACAGATGTCTTTTCGAAATCGTGTTTTGGTGCCCGTGGGGTAGATGGGAAGTTTGGGTGGTCGAGAAGCTCAATCTCGGTTGAGTCAGTGACACCTGCTGTTAGCTCTAGTTACGCCTCTAGGAGCAGGAGTGATAGCACAGCGGGTAGGGTGTTTGCCTTGCATGCAACTGGCCTGGGTTCAATTCCCAGCATTTCACAGGGTCCCCTGAGCACTGCCAGGGATAATTCCTGCGTGCATGAGCCAGGAGTGACCCCTGTGCATCGCCGGGTGTGACCCAAAAAGAAAAAGAAAAAAAGAAAAAGAAACACCTCTAGTTACAGTGGGGGAGGACTCGGTTTACCCTCATCCACACCGACACTCCTTGTTTTACTTCTTCCTTAGGTTCTATCTCATTGTTCTTTTGATTTGCAATTCCCTGATAAGTGATCTTGTCATATCCTTATTGCCCGTCTGTATGTCATCTTTGAGGAGGTGTCATTTCATCTCTCCTCCCCAATTTTTGATGCTTGTTTTGATGATTTTTCCCCTTGTTTTACAGATACTTTATGTCTTGGGTATTAACCCTTTGTCGTAAGAGTGGTGGGAAATATTTTCTCCCAGTTTCTGAAGTGTCTTTTTATTCAGATAATCGTTTCTTGTGAGATGTGTCCACACTGTTTCCTACCTCTGATGTGCCTTCTGATTAATCACATTGCTTTCCGAAACAAATGGCAGCGGGCTGAGTAGCAGAAGACTGTATGCTAATTCCTCTCCCCGTGCAGTTGATGGGGTATCAAGTAGCTGGATCTGCTTGTTAATGTATAAACATTGTCACCGCCATTGATGCAGGTTCTGAGACCCGTGTAACTAGAGGAATAGCAATTAATAATAGTGGCCCAGTATTTGGCCACTTGCTCTGTTGCAGGCTCTGTGCTATTGAAGATTTTGTAGGTTTTTTTTTCCTTTTTTTGGGTCACATCCAGTGATGCTCAGGGATTGCTCCTGGCTCTGCAGTCAGGAGTTACTCCTGGCAGTGCTTGGGGGACCCTATGGGATGTCGGGGATCGAACCCAGGTCAGCCAGTGTGCAAGCGTCACCCGTTGTTGTACTATCCCTCCGGGCACAGTTTTTTTTTTTCCATACGATCTGAAAAAATTCTATGAATTATGTTCCATCCCATTTCCCATGTTAGTAATATGGAAGGCCCAGATCGATAAATCCTTTGCCTGAGGTGACACAGTCATAAACTCAGGATCAAGATTCAAAGGACCTTAGTAAGCGTCTCAGATTCCGAAGCTGCTTGACAATTTTGAACGTGCAAATGGAGAGTAAACCCCTTTGGTACGAGGTTTGGAAGGTTTCAGTTATCCATGCTAATTTTCTGTCACCAACTTTCACTTGCTTTACAGGCAAGAACTGTCAGATCGTGCTGGCTCCTTGTTCCCCAAACCCGTGTGAGAATGATGGCGTTTGTAAAGAGGCTGCCAATTTTGAGAGTTACACCTGTCGGTGTGCCCCAGGCTGGCAAGGTAACGACCTGGGAATGGAGAAGCCTAGAACTTTAAACAACGTAGTCAGGTCATCAGATCATCAGATATATGGAAAGATACGCCCCCCCCGCCCTGCCCCCCTCTGTCTACTGAGTTCCACCGGCTTTGCCAAGCGCACCTGCCTGTGCAGGAGTTGTTGCTCCGTGGAATGGCTGGGGATGCTTTTCCCTTCTCCATGTCTTTGAGGCCCCCTAGTGACCTGAGTTGGTTGGAAACCATGATTGTTGTCCAGGAGAATTGACAACCTTTACATCGGCTTCCCAAAGCCATGGACACCTAAGAGACTTTTCACAGCAGGATAGAGATCACCCTGGGTTTCCCAGGAATAGTCCCATGCACCCCAGCTGACACGTCCCCAGGGGGCCCCGACCCCTCTAATGAAGACTGTGTCATTCATCGCTCCTGTGATTCCAGGTCCACAGTGTACCACGGACATTGACGAGTGTGTCTCCAAGCCCTGCCTGAACCGTGGCGTCTGCCACAACACCCAGGGCAGCTACATGTGTGAGTGTCCCCCGGGCTTCAGCGGTATGGACTGTGAGGAGGACGTCGATGACTGCATCGCCAGTGAGTGTGACAGCAGCGTCTGAGTCTCTGCAGGGGAGGAAGGGGTGGCACCCGCCAGTGCTGAGGCCACTCCTCCTGTGGGTCCCAGGGTGTCTTTAAACATCTCAATTCTCGACCTAATCAAAAAGTTGGAAGTTGTGTATGCCTTTAGAGGTTGCAGCAGTCAAACCTCTTTCAAGGATTCCCTAGTGGATTTTATATGTTGGCAAACTGGGAGGCTGGGCCACAGAGCTCAGTGAAAACTCCATTGAGGTACATTTAATACACAATAGAAATACGGTGCAAATATCCTTACTGTACAGTGTATCATTTTGATATATAATGACCAAAACCATCACTCAAGATAATGAACGTCCATATCCCTAATGCTCTGGAACTAACCCTTTTGCACTCCACAACCATATCTCTCTGTCACTTTTGCATGTTATTTTTTTATAGCTTTAAATGAACCATAGAATGCACACATGTTTCGAAAGGAAACAGAACTTCTTTCATTTGGGTATTATTTAAAACTTCTTATTTTGTGGAAATTGCCAAGATAGTTTGCAGGTCACGGTATCATTTTCATTCCCACTGGTACTGCGTGGCGTTTGGTTGACCGTTCTCCCCGGGAACATTGGTGTCATCACTCACTTCAAGCTCAGCCATGTTTCCTTTGCTCTTGGCTCGAAACTTTAAGATTATTAATAATGCCGTGCACCTATTCAGATGCTAGTACATATATTGGTTTGGAGCCCACACCTGGCTGTGCCCAGGGCTTACTCCTGGCTCTGTGCTCAGGGATCACTCCTGGCAGTGCTTAAGGGACCAGACACGGAGCTGGGAGTTGAACCCCGGTTAGTTTCATGCAACGCGAGTACCCCAACCACTGCACTACCTCTGTGGTTCCTACTGTTGTACATCTTATTTGTAGGATCTAGCTAAAGTTTCTGCCCATTGGATTTTTCGGTGCTTTGTTTTTCAGTGCTCAGAGCCTGCTCCTGGCAGTGCTCGGGGACCCAAAGCACTGGGGTTATCCCTCACGCACGTACTCAGTCCACTGGACTATCTCCCTGGGTCCCACATAGGCTTTTGTTTGTTTGTTTGTTTGGGTCACACCCAGTGGTTCTTAGGGGCTACTCCTCGTTCTGTGCTCAAGGGTCATTCCTGGCATTACTCAGGGCACCATATGTGGTGCTGGGTTATGAAAGGGACTGAGTTTGTACAAGGCGAGCTCTCCTGTCTGTCTGACCCCCTCCCCCATACTGTTTCTCTGACCCCACCCCCACTAATACTTCTTAAAAGGCCCTCCCGTTGTTCATCGATTTGCTCGAGCGGGCCCAGTAACGTCTCCATTGGAGATTTTGTTGTTACTGTGTTTGGCATATCAAATACATCACGGGTAGCTTGCCAGGCTCTGCCGTGTGGGCAAGATAAAAAAGCTTTAACGATCCTTAGTGTGTTACGGGCACATATTTGACTTACAAATACTGTGTAATGAAAGTTTTATGATTCTATTTTATGAAACTACTCATGATTTAAATAACATAATTTCCAGTTGTCAAACAGGCTGAGAATGTCAGAGAAATGTTCTTGCACTTGTTTTCAGAAACTGATGAGTGAAATCAAGATAGACTTAAAGAAAAGTATCAGAGCAGGAAAGTTAAAATTTTGCTGCTCATAGATAGTGTGACTCAGCCGAGGACAGTCACCTTGACAAGTCTAAGATTTGGTTGATACTATTGTCAGAATTCTAATTCTTGGCCTTGTTGACTTAGATCCTTGCCAGAATGGAGGGTCCTGTGTCGACGGAGTAAATACTTTCTCCTGCCTGTGTCTTCTGGGCTTCACTGGGGAGAAGTGTCAGACCGACACGAATGAGTGTTTGAGTGAGCCGTGTAAGAATGGGGGAACCTGCTCTGACTATGTCAACAGTTACACTTGCAAGTGTCAGGCAGGATTTGATGGCGTCCACTGTGAGAACAACATTGACGAATGCACGGAGAGGTGAGTAGCCCACGCACTTGGCACCAGTGGGTCCTGGGGAAAAGGCAGAATGGGGAAGAAACTAGAGAGCTCAGTGGAAGAATTTCCGGAGTATCCTTGGGCCCCAGTTTACTTCGCCCCATTCCTGATTCCTGCAGATGTGTAGCTAGAAGGCCAGGGTCAGAGGCTGGAAAGCTTAGAGAAACAGACCATCATTCGTTTCTCTCTTGGGAAACAGAAGGGGTTAGAATGCAGTTCCATCTCCTCGGTCTCCTTTCATGTCAGCTGACTAAAATTCTTAACAAAATGACTAAAAACATTTATTTTTTGCCAATATGTCACCCTTGCCTCTCTGAAGCCCGGCAAGTATCCCGCCCACATGGCAGAGCCTGGCAAGCTCCCCATGGAGTATTCAATATGCCAAAAACAGTAACAGTAATGGGTTTCATTTCCTGTCCCTGAAAGCCTCCAATACGGCAGCATTGGGAAAGATGAGTACGGAGAGGCTGCTAAAATCTCAGGGCTGGGACAAATGGAGATGTTACCAGTGCCCACTCGAGTAAATCACTGAACAACGGGATGACAGTGACACTGACAGTGTCACCCTTAAGTAATTTCCAGTGAAGACTTTCATTTTTTAAAAATTATCAAGTGAATTTCCTTTCTCAAATCTAGAATTTAGTGATTTGTTTAGTACCTTTCTTGTTGAGGGATAAAATGAAATAGGACATAGGAAAATCCCAGAAGGGACGCAAGAGACAGCTCCAAGGATTAGATTTCGTGCCGAGTATGCACGAGGTCATGTGTAGAAGTGTCTGTGTGAGTAACATCTCGGGTCCTAGGAATACTCTGGGTGGCCACATGGTTATGCAACTTGGCTTTTCCCGTTTGCTTCCTCCTAGCTCCTGTTTCAATGGCGGCACCTGTGTGGATGGGATTAACTCCTTCTCTTGCCTGTGCCCTGCGGGCTTCACTGGCCCCTTCTGTCTCCACGAGGTCAATGAGTGTGACTCCCAGCCATGCCTGAATGAAGGAACCTGTGTGGATGGTGTGGGCACCTACCGCTGCACCTGCCCCTGGGGCTACACCGGCAGGAACTGTCAGGTAACCGGAGTCCTTCCGACCAGGGCACCAGCTGCCCAGCGCAACTGCGGGTCCACCTGCCCCCTCCTGGGCAGGGTCAGGCCCCACTACCACCCAAAAGGGAATTTCTATAGAAATCTTAATTATAGATTTTAAAACAGGCAAGTTATAGACCAACAAACAAGATCATAAGTAAATAAGAACTGCAAAGAAGTACATGTGAGAACTGAGACCATAGAGGCCATTGCATTGTTAGGTTTGAGAAGGGAAGTGAAGACAAATCAGATTGAAATCATTGGAGGTCGTGTACAACACTTAAGCACATGATACTTAAGCACATAATACTAATGACTGTGCTTTCCAGTGTTGCCCAGATTGGGCAGAGCCACCCCCAAGGGTCACTGTGACACCCCAAGGGGCCGGCAGTGGCCTCTGTGCATTGGGGCACCGCTGTCTGCTCACTTGAAAAGGGAGATTCCTGGTGCTGCGTGATTTTTATTCTCCCTGAAAAGTGAGTGCTAGACCAAATAAATTTGGGCCATTCTCCTTCAAGCTCTCTCTTAAATGCAAATATATTTTTCATAGATTCTAGCAATAGACACCTCCTCTGTAACCAAGTGGTCTCATCATTCTTTTCCTGTGGAAGAAGCTGAGACTCGGAGAAGCAAAGTAACTTTTTCAAGGTTACATGCCAGGAGCACTGTGTTGAATTTTATTCTAGTTTACCTCTGAAAGAATTATAAAGAGGCGAGAGAGATAGACACATGCCTTTCATGCAGTCCTCCATCCCTGGTTTGATCTGTGGACCCCCACCCCCCGCCAAGAACATCTCCAGCTGCAGCCCTGAAGGTCCCCCAGCACCGTGGAGGAGACAGATAGTCCCTGGTACCAATCCCTGAACCTCAAGCTGAGAATTGCGGGAAGGGGCTCCCAGATCTCCCAAGCACCCCTTCCCCAAAGGGCGCCAGCGAGGTGGCTCAGCGGGCTCATGCATGTGGCCACTGGTTTGATCATGGGTCCAGGCACCACATGGTCCCCTGAGCACTGCAGGGACAGAAATGAATGATAGGTGACAGGACTCTCATGGAATGCCAGAGAGCTGCGGGATAAAAGGACACATTAACTCAACTCACAGGGGGCTCTCGGGGCTGGGACTGTCCTGGAAATGCGGAGAACCTCTCCTGCATACTAAGCAGCTCGCCTGGACCCGGGTCAGGAGGCCATTCTCCAGCAGCCTGCTTCTCTTTCACACAGCGGGGGCATCCGAGGCCGCAGCAAGGGCGGCGGCAACTCCCTGCCCCAGCGCCTGCTGGTTCCCAAAGAGCCAAGGGAATGGGAGGCGCCTTCCCCCGCCCCCCACCAAGCCTCCAGGAACGAATCCTTCGAGAGTGGTCCAAGTCCACTGGGGTTCTTTGCCTCCTACTTATTTCTTATAAGCCAAGATCGTCCCCTCAACGTAGGCTGCTTTGCAGTTTCTGGGTTCATTAAACAGTGCAAATCTTTTGCACACACTGATTTGACACAGACCCATCCTTGGCATAGGCATACCCTCTCTCCCTCTCCCCCTCTCTCTCCCTTCCCTGCCCTCCCTCCCTCTCTCCCTTTCCCTCCCCCCTTCTCTCTCGCTATACCTAAACGTCATGATGTAGGGACTGATACCATCTTTGGGGTTTAAAGCTTAAGCTCTGAAACAAGCACTTTTTAAATAGCAGAGCTAAGAGAAATCACACTAACAATTATCACATTACCAGGAAACTCTGGAATTAATATGCAGCATGGATAGAGCTCTTTGTCCTCTTCCTCCTCCCTTTCTAAGTCCCCTCTTCTTCCTTCTCCTCACTTCCCACATTCTCTCCTCCCTTTCTTTCTTCTCCCCTCCTTCATCCATCGACGGCTTCCTTGGGCTTCCATAAAGCACCATGTACGGTTCCCTTCATATCGGCTGCTGTGATGCTGACGCTTGTGTTCTGTCTGATTCAGACCCTGGTGAACCTTTGCAGCCGGTCTCCGTGTAAGAACAAAGGCACTTGTGTGCAGGAAAAGGCAGTGTCTCGGTGCCTCTGTCCCTCGGGGTGGACCGGAGCCTACTGTGACGTGCCCAGCGTCTCCTGTGAGATGGCGGCCGCCCACAAAGGTGAGCTCTGCTCTCCTCTCGTGGGTCAGTCAGCGTAGGGCAGGAAATGTGGTGGAGGGCCGAGGAGAGAGGTGGGCAGAGCTCTGGAGCAGGGGGACAAGACAGCAGGGGTGGAGCAGAGGACGAGGCACTGAACACGCGTAGGAAGGAAGTCGAAGGCACCTGTGTTTTCACAGCCGACTTCATCCCAGGGCCAGCCTGCTGCTGAGGGCTGTGAACGAGACAGACGGGAACTTGAATGTGTCGGCGAGGGTAGCTCAGTGCTTCTTGCTTGGTCTGAACCTGACCCGTCTCTTCTGCTCATCTCTGCTGTTTCCCAGGGGTGCCTGTGGACCGCTTGTGCCAGAATTCTGGCATCTGCACGTCAGTCGGCAACTCGCACCACTGCCAGTGTCCCCCGGGCTACTCGGGGAGCTACTGTGAGGAGCAGCTGGACGAGTGCGCGTCCAACCCCTGCCAGCACGGCTCCACCTGCACCGACTTCATCGGCGGGTACCGATGCGAGGTAGGCGGCATGAGTAACAGAGGCCGGCTGGCCTCCCGGAAGGGGGTGCAGGTGTGAGCACACACTGGTGTACTGAATGTAGAGGCTGTGTTGTACTTCCACACTTAATAGATCTTGGAGTCACCATGACGGTGTGTCAGAAATGCTGTTTCTTTCCGATCCCCTGTGTAATAAGTTAACATAGCCCAGGGAAGCTATATTGAGAAAAGTCTGGAATCATGTTGAACATTTTCCCCGCTCCAGACCCCAACAGTAAGTTAACAAAATTTCAGAGCAGGGGCCCCCAAAGTTGATTGCCCATTGGAATCATATGAACTGATCCCAAATACTGAAGCGAGGGGAGAGTCCAGTGCATAGGGCGTTTGCCCTGCATGCGGCCAACCTAGGTTTGGTTCCTGGTACCACTTAATGGTCCCCACCCTGCCATCAGTGATCCCTGAGTACAGAGCCAGGAGAACGCCCTTAGGACTGTCGGTTTCTTCCTCCCACACCAAAAACCAGTGATGCCTGGATCCTCTTTCAAGGATTACTCTTTTTTCTTTGTTTTTTTGATTTGAGGGTCACACCAGCAGTGCTCAGGGCTAAGTCCTGGCTTTGCACTCAGGGGTCACTCCTGACAGGCTCAGAGGGCCATATGAGGTACCAGAGATCAAACCCAGATTGAAGCGTGTGATGTAAGACCCCTACTCATTGTCCGATTGCTCTGGCCCTTCAAGGATTATTCTGATTTAATTATGGTTGTGATCTGTCCATGTTTTTTGAAATAAGGCCATACAGAAATTTTTTTTTTTTTTGGTGGGATCACACCCGGCGATGCACAGGGATTACTCCTGGCTCTGCACTCAGGAATTACTCCTGGCGGTACTCAGGGGACCATATGGGATGCTAGGAATCGAACCCAGGTTGGCCGCGTGCAAGGCAAATGCCCTACCTGCTGTGCTATCGCTCCAGCCCCAGTGCAGGAGTTTTTAAAACTCTCCAATTATTCAAATAAGAAGCGAAGTCTGCAAACCTCTGCTGTAGAGCCCAAATGTTTATTTACGATCTTTGGTTTGGAGGCCACACCCTGTGGTGCTCAGGGACTCCTGGTGCAGTGTACCTGGGTCAGTCTGGGTGGTACTGGGGGCCGTGCATGAACCTCTGGGATGCAGGGTGTGCTCCCAGCAGGCTGAGCTAACGCTCTGGCCCTCAAGCCTTGCTTCTTAAACTTTGGGTCCTCACCCCAAATGGGTCACATAACTGAATGGGGGTGGAGGTGAGGGAATTTTCATACTATAAACTTACGATTATTACCAGGAAGTGTTTGAGCTGTACGCTTATCACTGGCGTCGCGTAAAAAACTATACAGTGAAAAGTGCTACATGGAAAGAGTTTAAGAAGCCCTGCTGCAGAGTATGGCATATTTTAGAAGTCTGGATCCATCCAGCTTTCAGGATTCAAAGGCAGCCCTGAGTACCAGGATTCTCTACAGCCCCCTCCAACCCGTGACTCTTGATACTCCTTGAAAAGCTTCTGAAGCAACTAAAGCCACGTTGGGTGGTGTCCTTTTGATCTGTGTCACTTCTGTATGCAATTAGCGGTCGGTGAAGTGAAATGTGCCATCACATTTCCCCCCACATATTGATATTGATACCTAGGTTTATTTATTCGAGCACTCTTGAACCTGCTGATTCAGACACTCTGGAAGCAAACCCACAGTATCGTGCAAAGGTCCATGCGGCTATTTGAGGAAGTTTGTCCCTTTTGGAGTGCTGGGGGTGCATACCTGGTGGTGCTCAGGGCTTACTCCAGCCTCTCTGCTCAAGGGGCACTCCTCCCTGGGCTCAGGGGGCCGCATGCGATGCTTAGGATCAAACCCAGGTCAGCTGCATGTAAGGCAAGCACCCTATCTGTACGATGGCCCTGTGGAGGAGGTATACCTCTGTGTTGATGTTTGGGCTGATGATGCCTGGAGCTTGGAATTAATCAAACACCTGAGACATGAATTTGATCCTATCTAGGCTACCAGGCAACATAGAGAAATGGCCTGACTTCTCCCTTCTGACACAAATGAGCCAGAGAGGGTCTGGATATTGATACCTAGGTTTATTTATTCAAGCAGTCTTGAACCTGCTGATTCAGACACTCTGGAAGCAAACCAACTCTTTCCTGTGTCTAGTTATTTTCAAGTTACTCAGCTAAACGAAATTTCAGCTAGGTCCTTCTGCTTCCTATATTTTCTAAAGCACATCCAGTACTGCTCGCTGGAGCACAGACTCCCTATAGCCCCCAGCCCTTAACCCCCAGCCTCTGAGCTCCTCACAGTTCTCTCAGCCTGAGACTGCTGCCAGCCTCTCTGTTATCATCTGGACGCACAGCAGCCTCTCTGTCCCCCCTTGCCCAGGAGTTCATGTGCCGTCCTCCTTCCCACACCTTCTCTTGCTCCGGACGTTCTGTCAGTAAAGGACGTTCCCCACAGGCACGCCTGTCAGAGCACCGCGCGGTCATGGTCATCTTTCTCCCCCTCGGCTCAGCCACTCCGACAGCCAGGCAACTCTCCCTGCCCCTGTCCCTCTTGGTCAGTCTCTCTCACACACACACGCCCAATAAATGCTTGTTTATCATCACCTCCACATTCCTTTTCGACTGAGTTGTGGGTTCTTCACCACGTACAAAGAACTGTGAATTGTAAAGATGTGAAAGCCTGATTGCAAGAGGTACAGAAGAGTTTCCAGGGGTCAGAGCTGAGATAGTCTTTAGAATCTTCTGCTCTGGCCTTCCCGTTAAGTGGATTTTTCAGAAGTGGAAGGCTGAGAGACTGCAAGTTGAAGAAGCCCAGGTGAATAGCAGAACGCGTGATACTCCGCAGGGCTGGGTTCCACGGAGCTGGGGGGTTCGGAGCAACACTCTGAATTTTATTTGGTCTCATGATCTGTTTCCCGTCGTGGTCCCGTAATTTTTGGCCTTCTTCTCTTGCTCCTGGCAGTGTGTCTCGGGGTATCAGGGCGTCAACTGTGAGTATGAAGTGGACGAGTGCCAGCACCAGCCCTGCCAGAATGGAGGCACCTGCATTGACCTCGTGAACCACTTCAAGTGCTCCTGCCCACCTGGCACTCGGGGTAGGAATCAGCCTTACCTGTCCCTGTCTGATGCATTTTCGAAGGTAGAAATCTGTTCTCAGTGTTTGGGAGTTTCTCAAAAACTAAAGACAGGAAAACTGGCTTCATTCCAAGCATTTTGTTTGCATCCTGGTAATTAGCAGCACTTCATTGTCTCCTTGCTAAAACGATTGTGTTGACGACTCATGATCTCGATCGTTGAACTCATATTCCTCTAGAAATGTGAATGCACGTGATGTTGCAAGGAAATTAGTGTTGGAAAAATAATTAAATAATTCACATTTACCATTTCTTCCTCCTCTTCCTTCTCCTCCTCCTCTTTCTCCTCCTCCTCCTCCTCCTCCTCCTCCTCCTCCTCCTCTTCCTCTTCCTTCTTCTTCTTCTCCTTCCTCCCCCACATCCCCTCCTCCCCCCTTCCTCCTCCTCCTTCTTCCTCCTTCTTTCTCCTCCTCCGCCCCCTCTTCTTCCTTCCTCCTTGTTCTTCTTTTGAAAAAATTAAATCACCATGAGATACAGAGCTACGAAGTTGTTGATGGTTTAGTTGCAGTCATACATTGTTCCAACTCCTGTCCCTTCACACTGGTGGCCTAAGGCTGTGTAGCCCTGGAATTGCTGTCAGAGCCAATGAATGGCACCCCCCAGCCTGTGAATGGCGGAGCCGTCATCATTTTGCTATGGGCATGACCCTTGTCACCCTGGAAAGCACTTGTAGTGTTGTCTGTTAGAAGAAACACAGTGGCAATGTTATCCATCCTGAGCAGCCTATGGAACGAAAGGTCAACCCATGGCAGTACATCCTTATTGTCAAAGCCTAATATATGTTCCCACCCTCAAAGAATGTTATATAAAATGGCTAGGAAAGAGAAGAGAGACGCTCATTTCCCTATCAGAGGGGAACCAGCAGTGACCTACGCGCCTTTCAAGTGAGGATGAGTTCAGCTTCACCCTGAAGTGAAATGGTGGGAACCAGCAGAGGGGTTGCAGCCATCGACCTGGGGGATGGGAGGCCCTGCAACTCACCCTCCAGAGCTCTGAAGTGTAGGGCTGGGAGCAAGCGTTGTTCTAACCTTTACAATGAGGTTCGGGGATGTGGGTGTCTCCTGTAATGTCCACCAGTGACCAGAGGAAGTGAAGTCAGGATGAATAAATATTACTCGTCACATCTAACCAAACATAAATAGTATCATAACTCAACAGAGTCAATGTATAAAAATCATTGCAATCAACCAAACTGCCAAAAAGGACAAAAGTGCCGTGCGACCCAAAAGCCAGAGAGAAAGAGACCTAGCCCTGAGAGCTAGTGTACACACCATGTGTGCAAGAGGTCCAGGTCAGCCCTGGGGCCGATTGCTCCTGCGCACTGTTCTGGATGGCCCCAAAGAACCCAGCCAGGAGTAGTCCCGAGCAGTGCCGGAGGCTAAAACCCTTTTCTCGTATTACTGTTGATTTGTCCCAACTCAATTTGATGAATATTTTATCTGTTTTATAATGTTTACAGGTGGCACCTTAAATTAATTTTTATTCCCAAGAAAGACCAGGGAGTGTTAATACAAAAGTAGCGCTCAAAATTTAGTTTCAATTCCTAGCTGTCTTTTCATAGTATACGTTCACGAGTTTATTCTTCTTTGGAGCTCTAAGCATGTTTCGTGTTTATACTCACGTGAACGTGTTGATGAAACTTGAGTCTGTTTTGAGCTTCAGTTTCCTCCCCGTAGGTGGGACAGATCATACCTGTTCCTCCCGAGGGCTCCGCCCCACTGACTTACATGGACATGAGACCATGCGGGCCCCAAATTATGTTCTCTTTCCTTGGGTCTTATTGGTCACCCGGACAGCAGCTCTCGTGAGCCCAGCCTGGGCTTTGCCCCGCCTGGCTGGAAATTACCCCCCCATGCCGATGGGCCCCGAGTGCTGCTGACAGACAGGGACGGCTCCCGGCTGGCAAGCCGTGTCCCCGCGACCGTCCTTGCTCTCTCTCTCACACTCTCTCTCCTTCCGTCCAGGCCTGCTCTGCGAAGAGAACATCGACGACTGTGCCGGGGGTCCTCGCTGCCTGAATGGGGGTCAGTGTGTGGACCGGATTGGTGGCTACAGCTGCCGCTGCTTGCCCGGCTTTGCTGGCGAGCGCTGTGAGGGGGACATCAACGAGTGCCTCTCCAGCCCCTGCAGCGTGGAGGGCAGCCTGGACTGCGTCCAGCTCACCAACGACTACATGTGTGTGTGCCGCAAGGCCTTCACCGGTGAGCGTCTCGGCCTCGGAAGGGCTGCCGGGGAGGAAACTGAGGCCCCCCCAAGATTCACCCACACCAAGTGACGCTTAGTTTCTGCGTAGAAGGCCAGACCAGCTTAGCTCATGGGTTCTTTTCCCTCAGCTGTGCTCTCCGGGTCGCACAACCAAACTCCACTTTAATTTTTCCTGGGAGATGCTTTCTCTTTGGTTGTTCATGGGTCCTGTCATGCTATCGCAGCAGATTGAAAGAAGAGAATTCCCAGCGTGTTGGGAATAGTTGAGCAAAAGAGTATATCGAAATCGCGGTGGGATACCCCGAACATACAGTTTACCACTGAAACTCTGTTTCAGAAGTGTGTCTAGAGAAAGCTGACTGTGCAAATGAAGCTCTGTTTTCAAGAAGGGTCAGTCACGTTACGCAAAATGTATTAAATGATTAAAAAGGACATCATAGATGAAAATTCCCCATAAATGCACATTAGATCTCGTTACAGTTTAGATCTTATTATATCCTCTCCTACTGTAGAAAATATTAACAAAATGCTCTGAACTGGGGCTGGAGTCCAGCAGGTGGGGCTCTTGCTTGGCCTGCTGTCATCCTGGGTTTGACCCCAGCTCTCCGAGGGTTCCCTGAGCACCGAGCATAGCCGGGCGTGCCCCCAATTCTCCCCCCCCTCCAAAGAAAATCGAAATGTACAGAACCGTGGGCTCGGTGTTCCATTTGACTTAGCAAAGTGAAAGTACCTTCAGTAAGTTCCAGGCGGCATTGTGTGTGTCTGTGTGTGTTTGTACATGTGCACATGCATACACGAGATTAGAATAATTTTCTGATAGCCATCCTATTTTGCAAGTCAGTTTGGGAATCTATGACAGTTCTATGTGTTGTTATTGTGCAGACAAGACAGATAACGGGGTCTGAGCTGAGCCTGTCACGTGGAGATCCACTGAGGGTTCTGCTTGCTTCTTGCATTCTCTCAGGCTTAGACGGAACTCTCTCCTGGCTTCATTTCCAGTCACTTGACTAGCTCACGTGCCAGTGGTGTTCTGCTCAGTAATTTGCACTTGCAATTTGATCTTTTAAAATTCCTTTTCTCATTTTATTTTGAGGTCGCCACTGTGAAACTTTCGTCGATGTGTGTCCCCAGAAGCCCTGCCTGAATGGAGGGACTTGCGCTGTGGCCAGTAACATGCCAGATGGTTTTATTTGTCGTTGTGCTCCGGTAAGTTCTAGGCTACCCATTTTGGGAACAGGCTCTCTTCCGTAGTCTGTGACAAAGTTGAGGTTTGACTTGTTTCGTTTCCAAACTCTATGGAAAACGCACCTGGCAGGGGGGTTCCTGGTTTTCCTCACTCCTTAAGGAGAATACCTTTAGGTTTTCCATTTAAAGCTGTTATGATACCCCAGAAACAGCGAACTCCCTACACTTTGACTGTTAGACTTCAGAAATGCCAAGAGGTATCCACAAGAAGCGTGGAATGTTCCTTGGAAACTGGGCCCAGAGCTCTGGCTTGTGGGTCCTGAACCGCAGAGTTGGACTTAACTGAACAACTTGAGGCAGTGTTGGTGAGAAGTGCGATTGGTGTGTCTCAGCACAGAGCCATCGGGAAGCGAACTGCCCTTAGCCTGGAGGGACGCTGGGTTAGCCACTGACCATGCAGGCTCCGTGCCACTCCCACTTCTTCCTTCCTCCTGGAGAACCATCACCTGACTTGCTTGATGATGGTTAGAGAAGGTGCTTTCATAAACACAGTTTCAACTAAGTCTTAACCCACCGTGACCTGTGGACCTAATTCTTGAAGTGAGTTCTGCAGGCGACGGCATTTGACATTCAGTCCATGGAAAAACTCCATCATAACCTTTCAGTTGACATGCCTGGGGCGGTCCAGGATGCCACATGGGCCCAGTGCTTAGTCGCTATCTTGCTGGAAACGTGACAGAAAGAGGGACAGGAAAAGAAAGCAGGGCGAGTCCTCCCAAGCTGAACTGCTGACCCCGTTCCTTTGCCGATTTTACAGGGATTCTCAGGGGCAAGATGCCAGAGCAGCTGTGGGCAGGTGAAGTGCCGAAGAGGGGAGCACTGTGTCAACACGGCCGCCGGGCCGCGCTGCTTCTGCCCCAACCCCCAGGACTGCGAGTCGGGCTGTTCTAGCAGCCCCTGCCAGAACGGGGGCAGCTGCAGCGCCCAGCACCAGCCTCCCTACTACTCTTGCCAGTGCCCCCCGCCATTCTGGGGCAGCCACTGCGAGCACTACTCCGCCCCCACCAGCATCCCTGCGGCCACCTGTCTGAGCCAGTACTGTGCTGACAAGGCGCGGGACGGTGTCTGCGACGAGCCCTGCAACAGCCACGCCTGCCAGTGGGATGGGGGCGACTGTTCGCTCACCATGGAGAACCCGTGGGCCAACTGCTCCTCCCCCCTGCCCTGCTGGGACTACATCAACAACCAGTGCGACGAGCTGTGCAACACGGCCGAGTGCCTGTTCGACAACTTTGAATGCCAGGGGAACAGCAAGACGTGCAAGTAAGGGCTCCCGGCTTGCCCAGGAGCAGAGGGAGACTGTCACTAACCCGCCTCGGTTTCTCGTTCTTCTAATCCCTCCGATGCTTCAGCCCAAGCTGCCTCTGCTTTCCAGACAGCTGCCACGGCCCTCTGCTCCCTGGCACCAGCCCGGTCCCGGCGCTCGCCACCCCGTAGCAGAGGTCCAGGATTGCCCAGGTCTAAGCACCCTCTCTCTGCCTCTCTCTGCTCTCACCTGCTGCTCTCATCACCTCCCGGGGGAAATAACTTTTGGAAGTGATGCTGCCCACTCTCAGGCAGCCCCTCACATAACCCGCCTGCAGACGGACGGAAAGGTCTGTACCGCTCTCTCTTCACCCCGTCCCTTCCTCTAGGACTGGGTCTCGCCACTTGGGGTTGTCAGGAGGCAGAAGCTCTAGTCCAGCATGGCGTCCTCTGGGTTGTCCTGGTTGCAAGTTCTAGAGCGGCACCGTCACTTTCTCTTTAACCGCCCTATGGAATATGACCCCTGTTCATGTTCATGTCCAGCTACCTTGCGAGGTCCAGGGATTGTTTACGACCTTTCCGCAGATGAGAGCCAGAAGCTTAAAGCGCTTGCATCTTCCTGACTGAATCACTCAACTGAGCCCCTCTGGCAAATCGTTCGCTGTCGTGGCACTAGAAAGTGAGGGGCGTAGCGGGAGGAAGGAGAAGAGTTAAAATGGTTTGTGCATCATGTAGGTTTGAGGACCTCGTTCCTTTCCTCGATATTGAGAAGAGTTCGAGTCTGTGTCCTCTCTGAGACTTGCCCCTCCGTGTCCTCACGTCCTTGTTTCAGGGTTGAGATTCAGTCTGGGCATGAAATGGGCCCTTCTTGGTTCATCAACATGGTCCTCTCCATGGGGGTCTCTTGATGGTCCAAGTGGTTGATTCCAGTTTCTGGAGACACTTTTTGAGGTAGCATTCCTGTCCAGAACTGCGCTGTTGCCTCAGCAGCGGTGAGGTTAGAGGTCACGGTCACGGTCACGGTCCTCCCGTTGTTCATCGATTTGCTCGAGCGGGCCCAGTAACGTCTCCATTGGAGACTTGAGCGGGCCCAGTAACGTCTCCATTGGAGACTTGGTTGTTACTGTGTCTGGCATATCGAATACGTCACGGGGAGCTTGCCAGGCTCTGCCGTGCGGGCGAGACACTCTCGGTAGCTTGCCGGGCTCTCCGAGAGGGGAGGTAAGAGGAACTGGGACAAAAATAGAAGGCTATGGAGCAAGTTGGTTTGTTTCCAATACTCAGCTGTGTTCAACAAACTTGATGTAGAAAGACACAAGCTGCCAGGATCTCCTCAGCCCTTGTCCATCGCGTGCGTGGGCTCTTTCTCTTTTCGGGAGTGATGGAGAGAAGAACAGCCCGTTTTTCCTCTAAGATGTCAGGGACAGGGGCCCCGGGAAAGCATCCCCCAGGCATTTGGTATCGGGCCTGGTTCGCAGAAGAGGAGTGGGAAGAGGCATGGCCGTTCTGAGTGGAACACGAACTAAAGCTCTGGTTCCTTTCCTGTCCTCTCCCTCCTCTGCTCCCGTGCCCAGGTATGACAAATACTGTGCAGACCACTTCAAAGACAACCACTGTGACCAGGGCTGCAACAGTGAAGAGTGCGGCTGGGACGGGCTGGACTGCGCTGCTGACCGGCCGGAGAACCTGGCCGAGGGCACGCTGGTCATCGTGGTGCTGATGCCGCCCGAGCAGCTGCTGCAGGATGCCCGCAGCTTCTTGAGGGCGCTGGGCACCCTGCTGCACACCAACCTGCGCATCAAGCGGGACGCGCAGGGGGAGCTCATGGTCTACCCCTACTACGGCGAGAAGTCCGCTGCCATGAAGAAGCACAGGATGGCACGCAGGTCCCTTCCCAGTGACCAAGAACAGGAGGTGGCTGGGTAAGTGACTGACCTCTGAACTTCCTGAAGCTTGGGCGTGTCACGTGGAGCACTTTGGTGTATGAAGGTCCCAGCGATCTCTAGAGAGCAAACTAATAGGACAGCCACCGAGGAGAACAAACCCTCACTGCCCTCCTTATGTCGCAGGGCCCTGAAAAGGGAAGGGCAGGAGTCAAGGAGGCCTCCTCAGGGCCCAGCTTCCAGAAAGCAGTGGCTGAAGTGGCCCCACGCCCGTTAGTAGCCACTGCTCTTTTATGTTGATTTGTCTTCTCTCCGAGGCCCTGTATTTATTATCAGTCTTTCTTTCTTTCTTTCTTTCTTTCTTTCTTTCTTTCTTTCTTTCTTTCTTCCTTCCTTCCTTTCTCTCTCTCTCTTCCTTTCCTTCTTTCTTTCCTTCTCTCTCTCTCTCTCTCTCTCTCTCTCTCTCTCTCTCTCTTTCTCTCTCCCTCTCTCTCTCTCTCTATGTTTGTTTTGGGGCTGGAGCGATAGCACAGGGGTAGTGCATTTGTCTTGCATGCGGCCGATCTGGCTGATCCAAGTTTGATTCCTCCGCCCTTCTTGGAGAGCCCAGCAAGCTACCGAGAGTATCCTGCCCCATGACAAAGCCTGGCAAGCTCCCCGTGACGTATTCGAAATGCCAAAAAACAGTAACAAGTCTCACAATGGAGACGTTACTGGTGTCCGCTCGAGCAAATCGATGAACAACGGGAAGACGGTGCTACAGTGCTCTTGTAGTAATCCTCAGCCTTGCGGTCCTTTGCCCTTGTCCGGTGCTGCCCAAGGCAGAAGGTCCATAGCCCACCTCATCCCGGGAAGGGTGACCATTCCCTGGGTGGGGGTTTATACTGGGCTCTGGAGGATGCCATCGGATGTGCTGAGATCATTCTGGGCACCGTGTCTCAACGAGGGCAGGCCGGCTCCTGTGAGCTGTTGAGCTCCTCTTCCTTGCCACATACTCTTTAGCCTGATCCCCCGTTTCCCTCTCCTTCTCCGTGGGCCTCCCACAGCTCCAAGGTCTATCTGGAGATCGACAATCGACAGTGTGTGCAGGACTCCGAACAGTGCTTCAAGAACACCGACGCGGCCGCAGCGCTCCTGGCGTCTCACGCTATTCAGGGCACCCTGTCATACCCACTGGTGTCTGTCGTCAGTGAGTACCCTGAGTAGCCTTGGGGTGAAGGGACGAGGATGGCGGGGAGGGCACTGCTGTCCCTGGGGCCAGAGAGGACGGGGCATGCTTCCCACTACGGGCTTTGTAGCTTTCCAGGCTGACCTCCACAGGGTTCAAGGACTGAGTTGGGAGCGGAGGTTTCACTGAGCACTTTGCCTGTTTCTGCTCTTGCAGGTGAGTCCTTGATTCCACCTCACACACAGTTCCTCTACCTGTTTGCTGTCGCTGTGGTCATCATCCTGTTTATCATCCTGCTGGGGGTCATCATGGCAAAGCGGAAGCGCAAACACGGTTCCCTGTGGCTGCCTGAAGGCTTCACCCTCCGCCGAGACTCCAGTAACCACAAGCGCCGGGAGCCCGTGGGGCAGGACGCCGTGGGGCTGAAGTAAGAGAACTGCTGCCTGGCTGCTGCTTAGCGCAGAAATAAGGAGGATGAGTCTCAGAGAGATGGTTTTGCCAAAGCCTGATTTGAAATTCCGGGCTCTGGGGTCCTGCCACATCTTACACTTGACCGTGATTCCGAATGCCTGTTGTGGTGCTAACTGTGAAATTACCATCGGGGCCTGGAACCTTCCATTCTGTGCCTGTGACCTCAGTGGTGCTCAGCTTTTGTGTGGAGGCGTCTTTTTTTCTTAGGAGTTCTGATCAGTTCCAGAGGAAAGGATATTGGTTCAGGGAATGAGCCATGGATAGTTCTCATCCTTCCCAGGCCAGGGCCTCAGAAAGTCTGAGTGTAGTTATAAGTTTGCACCATGATGAAAAAAGTTTGTGAACCACTGGGTTATTGTATGCATAACCTCTAACCTCTGCCTCCCCCTTCTCCCTCCCCGCTTTCCTAACCATCAGAAATCTCTCCGTGCAAGTCTCAGAGGCTAACCTAATTGGTTCTGGAACAAGCGAACTTTGGGTTGACGATGAAGGGCCTCAGCCAAAGAAAGCCAAGGTAAGTCGGCCATGCAGAAGCACCGCTGGTGGCTGTTCTCTGGCCACATTTCAGATCTTGGTCTCTCGGGTCTGTTAAAACGGGAGAAAAAGGGAAAGGTCTTTTTGTGCTGCCCAGGCAGTGACTCCACCAACTTGTCAAGGAAAGCGGAAATCCTCAGGACGTTGGTAGTCTTAGGTTACCTATTAAATTTTTCAATGAGAGCTCAGTAGAAATAAGAATAAAGCTAAGAAGCATCCTTGCTTCATACTGCTAATTAATGGCATGAAGGAGACAGTGATTCCTTTCGTGGCTAGATCTCTCCTTTAGGCTTTCTGGGCGCTTCTGGAAGGAAATATGGAGTTAAATAGTGGAATTGCTCTGAGTTCAGAGTCCCTGCGCCTTGAGCCCAGAAGTACGATGTAGTCTGGGGCTGCTCTATGGAGGGGAGGTTACCAGTCCAGGCCCAGGCATGACGTGATGGGCCTGTGCCCACGGATATTCTACGTCGGTTTGAGAAAACGGATGCTTGGAAACGTGGCCATGTACAGAGCATGGTTGGTAACAACATTGCTCTAACTCTAACCAGAATGGATTCAAATTCAAAGTGCTGCTCCTTTCTGCTGCCAAATTACTGACATCTTTTTTCATAATTATCTTCATCATGAAAATAAAATAATATTCTTAAGTGAATGGTGTTGACAATTAAATACAGAAATAGGTATAATATACCTACTTGTTTCCTATAGCATATCAAATGTTCAATACAGCATAGCTGCTTTTTGGGTTAAAATAATTATTTTTCAGGATGTCAGCTGTGATGTGGGGGCCCATTGAGAGGGGTCGTTGGGACACTGGTGGGCGGAAGCAGCCTCTTTGCTGCTGAGTGTAGTGTTGGAATGATGTATGCATGGAAAGTATAGTTGACGGTACTCTAAGTATATTATTGGTGCCTTTAGAAAAATGGTTAATGAAAAATATTATTTAGTAAATATTCCCTGGAAAGACCTTGCTGTGCACTCGTCACTTGTGAAGTACAAGGGGACACACTTGAACTAGGCGTGTTCTCTGTTCTTATCACTCTTACAGTCAATTAGAAAAAATCAGGTAAACACTTAACACGTGGTCAGTAAAATACAGGTAAATGGTGTGTGGCTTTTCTAAGGCTGATGAGGATTTAAAGCCAAATTGTTATTGGAAGGGTGTTTGTTGGAGTTGTCCAACAAACAATTGGGAGACATGGGTGGAGGCACAGTCAGTATAGGGAGAAAAAGAAAGCAGTGCCCGGGGGTCTGTGGTAGCATATTCTGTAGGTCCCTACAGGGAATATATTGACTCTTCAGCCTAGAGTTTCTTCTATTGGCTTGGCTTCCCAAGCAGCCCTCAGAGGGCCCAGAGGTCACTCTTGGTTCCTCTGGACAACCAAGCCAGCGGTTCAGTGCAAGCACCAAGAGAAGGTGCTTGACCGTGATGCTCAGGAATCACCATGACCCCAGCAGTGCTCAAGAGGACACAAAGGCTGTGCCTGACAGATGTCCGGGGGACCCTGTACTGATGGGGATCAAACCAAGACCAGGCACATGCCTGGCAGTGCCCTAACCCCTGTGCTGTCTCCCTGGCCCCAAAGCCTAGAGTTTGAGAAAATTGCAGAGATGGTCTAGGCGAGGTTAGCGAGAACTGCTCACAGCAGCATCTGGAAGGCAGTGTGCAGAGTACCTGGAAAGTTAGATCAGGAGGAGAGAGACTCTGGACCCATGCTGGTCCGTGGTTCCTAGGGGTGAGCCCACTTGACAGGTGGAGTGTTTTCCCCTTGCAGGCTGAAGATGAAGCTTTACTCTCAGAGGAGGATGACCCCATTGACCGACGTCCCTGGACCCAGCAGCACCTGGAAGCTGCAGATATTCGTAGGACGCCGTCATTGGCTCTCACTCCTCCCCAGGCGGAGCAGGAGGTGGACGTGCTGGACGTGAATGTCCGTGGTCCAGGTCAGTACCACAGGCCTTCTTTCTGTAGACCAGGGCTGGCCATGGTTCTGCTTGTGTGTCCCCCAGGTGGTATGCTCCCTGCCACATTCATCATAAACGGAATCATCTTGAGAACATGCGTGCATTAGGAATGCAGACATGCAGGAATTACACACTTCCATTGTTTAAAAAGGAAGAATTTCAGTCAGCTGCACACACAGTATGCTTGAAGACAAATGGACTGATAATGTGGAGATATTTTAATAGGATAGTTAAAGAAGATGCCTAAGAAAAGGAATAGGGAGTTGGTTCATGCAGTCGGGCATATTGTCCTACTAGTAGTGGACATTTTAAAACACGAATTTAAAAATATTGTAGCTTTAAGAAACATGAATAAAGAATTTTTTTTTAAATATGGGAGAATCCCAGCTTTTAAAGACTCAGTTTCCCATCAGGAGAAAAGTTGACAAACGTAAAATTATTTGCCAGTGATCCAAAGTAGCACCATGTGTTTCCCTGATAAGAATAACGTTGCTGTAGTTGAATAATTCCAACGTGAGGGTGAATTCGACACAAAGGTCCTTTCCCTCCTTGACACTTTTGGCATTTTTCTTTCCCGTAGACGGATGCACCCCGCTGATGCTGGCTTCTCTTCGGGGTGGCAGCTCAGATCTGAGTGATGAAGATGAAGACGCCGAGGACTCTTCTGCCAACATCATCACAGACCTGGTCTACCAGGGCGCCAGTCTCCAGGCCCAGACAGATCGGACTGGGGAGATGGCGCTGCACCTGGCCGCCCGCTACTCCAGGGCTGACGCCGCCAAGCGCCTCCTCGACGCTGGAGCAGATGCCAATGCTCAGGACAACATGGGCCGCTGCCCTCTCCATGCTGCGGTGGCCGCCGATGCCCAAGGAGTCTTCCAGGTAAAGTCCTGGGGACGAGTCGGTTCATCGTGGATCTGTCATCTTAGGTCTTGGGTCAGGCCCTTGGTGTCCCATTGTGCTGATTCTGACCTTCTTGGAGACAGCAAGGCAGCTGGTAGAGGCGTGTCTGCTCCGTGAGAAAATAGGGCCTGGGGGGCAGGCAGTCATATCTAACAGTCCACATTTAGATGCAAACGTGCCAGCCACAAGGACACCAGATTTCTGATTCTTAATCATGCTTCTTTTGGATGGAAAAAATTTCCTCTTACAACGAACAGATTCAGATGGGAGTCTAGGGAATTTCAAAGTCTTGGGTTAGTGACGAGTGTCGATTTGCTTGATCCTCCCAGCCTGCAGTTGCTCTTTGAGGATTTTCTGGACATGAGTTCATAATGTATTCCTTGATGCCATTCCCTGGACCCTGGGGAGAAAACTGGAAGTATCCTGAGTAATCGTTAGCCTGAGGAATCTGAGTAAACGTTAATAAGACTATGATGTTTCCTCTGGAGTGATAGCACAGCGGGTAGGGCGTTTGCCTTGCAAGCCTGAGTTCGATTCCTCTGCCCCTCTCGGAGAGCCCGGCAAGCTACTGAGAGTATCTTGCCCACACGGGAAAGCCTGGCAAGCTACCCGTGACATATTCAATATGCCAAACACAGTAACAATTGTCACAATGGAGACGTTACTGGGCCCGCTTGAGCAAATTGATGCACAAGGTGACAGTGACAATGATGTTTCTCTCCTCTATGCAGTCCAAGCACTTCACTTTACATCTGTCATTGTCACTTGAGCACACATCTGGGTATTTTTGTATGTGTGCATCTATTAATCCAAGCTGTATTTATTGATCAGCCATGGTGAAATCTTGAGCATGGAGGCAGTGAGCCCTGTCCTAAAATCTGAGAGTGTGACCTCAGATTAAATGTACTTGTTTCTTCTCTGAGTTTGTAATTTTCTTTCATCCGGTGACTGTACTTTTTTCCTTCTAGATTCTGATTCGTAACCGAGTAACAGATCTCGATGCCAGGATGAATGATGGCACCACACCTCTGATCCTGGCTGCCCGCCTGGCTGTGGAGGGAATGGTCGCAGAACTGATCAACTGCCAGGCAGATGTGAACGCGGTGGATGACCACGGTGAGCGCTGGAGGCGGGGCCTGGCATCTTATTTGCAAAGCATGCCTCTAAGAGCTGTTGCAGGGTCCTTCGGGGCTGTCTCAGATCCCAGTATCGGAAGATTCACTCGTTCATTCTTCCTCTCGGTATTTTGTTCAGACAGCAGAATTCCTGAGATGTCCTTAGGTGAAGAGGGAAGGGACTTGGACTGATGGTCCTTGTGTCTCAAAGGAGATCTTTGAAAGACCTGCCCGTGAAGGTTCCCACACATACTGCTCTTCAGATGAGGACTTCCCAGAGCTAACTTCATTAGAGAAGGAACGAGAATCCTAAACATACATTCTGGAGTCAAGGAAGGAAAGAGGTTACTGCTCAGTGTGCAACAGGGTGGATCACACCAGAATGCCAGTGAGGAATAACTATCTTGCGGTCTTCCATAGACTAGGCAGCTTTGACAGAAGTGTGTCTGAGACAGAGGATGAAGAAAATACTCCGTAAGATACTCTAATGGATCCCCATAGAAAATTGGCTTTCCGGAAAGTTCCAGAGTTCCTTAGACAAGTCATGGTTCCTCCCTCCGGTAGAATCTGAATGTGTCCTCCTATTCCTTTTGCTTACGGAAATATTTTTCCTTGCAGGAAAATCTGCTCTTCACTGGGCAGCAGCTGTCAATAACGTGGAGGCAACCCTTTTGCTGTTGAAAAATGGGGCCAACCGAGACATGCAGGACAACAAGGTACGGCCTGGCTGTGAGCAGGGACAAGTCTCCGCCCTCATGGTCCCCTGTGAACCGTGAGGACACTGCAGGCGGATTGACCAGGGACTGGGTCCAGAGAGCACAGAGAAGCCCTGGCTTACTCGTGGAGTGTCTGGCCCGAGCCCTCTGCCTGCTCAGGTCAGTCCGGACCAGACTGGCTGTCAGCGGCTTTAGGGTGGCCGCTGGGACTTCCCCTTCTCCTGCTCCCCGTTCTCTTCATGCCCACTCCCTTTTTACTCAATCGTTGCATTCCCCCCGTGCTCATGATGTTTCCTGTTGGCGATTTTTCCCTCTCTGCCTTCTTTCTCTGCATCTGTTTGATGCTGTTTCTTTTCACTGGCTCGTCTCATCTTGTTTATTTCCATTTTTCCTTCTTTGTGTTCCTGTACTTGTTTTGCTCCACTGTCTTCTAGTTCTTGTGTATACTTTAGACTGCTTCCCTTCTTTTTTTTTTGACACATCTTTTTCCTCTTCTCAGCCTACTTTGATAAATGTAGAGCTCTTTTAAGTGAAACCTTGGTGTAGGGTGTGGTGTACTTCACACGTTTTGAACGCTCCGCGCACAGATTCAAAACAGAGGATCACTTTGGCATTAAAATTTCACACAAGGAGACTGTCAGGGGCAAAGTTTCTGTTGGGGAAATCATAGCAAAGAGGTGGGGAAACGGCTCAGCTCCCGAGAGTCATCAGTGTGTGTGTGTGTGTGTGTGGGTCTTTTCTCCAGGAGGAAACGCCTCTGTTCCTCGCCGCCCGCGAGGGGAGCTACGAAGCGGCCAAGATCCTGCTGGACCACTTTGCGAACCGGGACATCACAGACCACATGGATCGCCTCCCGCGGGACGTGGCTCGGGACCGCATGCACCACGACATCGTGCGCCTGCTGGATGAGTACAACGTGACCCCCAGCCCGCCGGGCACCGTGCTCACTTCCGCGCTCTCCCCAGTCATCTGTGGGCCCAACAGGTCTTTCCTCAGCCTGAAGCACACCCCGCTGGGCAAGAAGCCACGGCGACCCAACGCCAAGAGCGCCATGCCCACGAGCCTGCCCAACCTCGCCAAGGAGGCCAAAGATGCCAAGGGCAGCCGGCGGAAGAAGTCCCTGAGTGACAAGGGGCAGCTGTCGGAGAGCTCGGTGACTCTGTCCCCCGTCGACTCCTTAGAGTCCCCCCATACCTATGTGTCTGACACCACCTCCTCCCCCATGATCACATCCCCTGGGATCCTCCAGGCCTCGCCCACCCCGATGCTGGCCACCGCCGCCCCCCCGGCCCCCGTGCACGCCCAGCACGCGCTGTCTTTCTCTAACCTCCACGACATGCAGCCCCTGGCTCCCGGGGCCGGCACGGTGCTGCCCTCGGTGAGCCAGCTGCTCAGCCACCACCGCATCGTCCCGCCCGGCCCCGGGAGCGTGGGCGGCCTGGGGAAACTCCACCCGGTCTCGTTCCCAGCCGACTGGATGAACCGTGTGGAGATGAATGAGACGCAGTACAACGAGATGTTTGGCATGGTCCTGGCCCCGGCTGAGGGGACCCACCCTGGCATGGCCCCCCAGAGCCGGCCGCCCGAAGGGAAGCAGGTCCCCAACCCCCGAGAGCCCTTGCCCCCAATCGTGACTTTCCAGCTGGTCCCCAAAGGCAGCATCGGCCAGCCCGCAGGGGCTGCCCAGCCCCAGCCCAGCTGCCCTCCTGCCGTTGCCGGCCCCCTCCCCGCCATGTATCAGATCCCAGAAATGGCGCGTTTGCCCAGCATGGCGTTTCCCACTGCCATGATGCCACAGCAGGACGGGCAGGTGGCGCAGACCATCCTCCCGGCCTACCATCCTTTCCCCGCCTCCGTGGGCAAGTACCCCACGCCCCCATCGCAGCATAGCTATGCGTCCTCCAACGCGGCCGAGCGGACGCCCAGTCATAGCGGTCACCTCCAGGGCGAGCACCCCTACCTGACACCGTCCCCAGAGTCTCCCGACCAGTGGTCGAGCTCTTCGCCCCACTCCGCTTCCGACTGGTCGGATGTGACCACCAGCCCGACTCCCGGCGGCACGGGAGGCAGTCAGCGGGGGCCCGGGGCACACATGTCGGAGCCAGCACGCGGGAACATGCAGGTCTACGCATGAAGGAGTCTGTCCCCAGCCCAGGGACAGAATCGCCTATTGGAAATGCTGCTGAGAGACACATGAAGGGCATCCGGGAGAGAAGGAAGAAATCTGCGGAACCGGCTTCTGGAGGGAGGCAGGAGCACTGATGGCTTCGACACTGCGCGGAGAGCGGTTCCATCAGCTTCACTGGGCACCTGCGGGGCTTTCGAGGGGAAGGACATGACGCCTCCTCAGGTCCTGCCCATCAGGCCACAGTGGAAGAAACGCAAGACGACTGTAAGATTTGGGACCATGTTTACTCTCTCCTGCTTGGAGACTGGGGTGCATGCCTGTGGTAGCCCAGACATTCTTGCATCTTTGAACCGTGTTTGAAACGCCAGGGGCTCCTGCCATATCCCTCAGAATATTCTAGAGTAGAGTCCTCTTGGGAATCTTACCCTGGAATTCTGCCAGCATCCAACTGTCTCCGCTCTTCCATCTTGGAAATTCACTGGGTGCGTTCTCGATTGCACCCGTGTGTGTTGCCGCCCGGAGAGCGTGGCATAGGGCACGGCCTTTGTGCTTCGGATCATTCCCCTCTGGACAGCAACTTGAGCCGCCTCCTCCCTCCCCCTGCCCCCAACTCCCCCAGTGTCCTCCGATCTCACAGGGTCCCCCTTGATCATGACTCTCTTCCCAAACCTTCTGAGTAACGTTTCCTCAGAGAATGTGCGCACTGTAGCTCCTAAATCATAGCAGGACCAGAAGAAGAATGGGAGCCGAGTGTTTTTCTTGGGACCCATTTGGGGACCTAGAGACGGCTTCAAGAAGCTGCACCTTAATTCTCTTGCCTGCTTGCAAGACTCTCTATAAACCGTAGGAGGAAGAAGGCAAAGAATCAGTTGTTTTCCCATTTGTGCTCCTGCTCAGAGTGAAGTTTTATCCTTGGCACTCGAGGTTCTGTGACCCCTTAAGACACAAAGAAAGAGTCAGCCTTTCTTTGGAGTATCGGTCAACCAGAGGAGACCGAACTCCTGCAAAAAGGTGACTACTGACTGACTTCCTTTCTGCCGAGCTGTCAGTGACTGCCAGTGTGAACCACATCTGTTTCCAGATCTCTGACCTCCCAGACTGTTTCACTTACTCCTCCAGCAGATGAAACTAGTCTTAGCAGTTGAGCCTTCTCTTCCAAAATACCCACAGAGGAAGTTGCCTCAAGTGATACTCCCTCGCTGTTTAGAACTGAACTTTTTATGTCTCGGGGGACAGAGGTCTTACTCTGGAAATGCGTGACTGCGTAAACAGACTCCATTTCCTCATTCTCTCCTCACAGACCTACTTGCCAGTCTTCCTTCCATACTGCAGATAACTGGTATACCAAATAGTTTCTCACCGAACACATGGATCTTCTGTGTCTTAGTGCAGGAAACAGAAAGTCGACTAAGGTCCAAGACAGCACTATCAGAAGGTTGGAAAGGAAGGGAAACTGATGATGTCTTACCACCATTTCTTTTCCATTGAAGCAGTCAGGATATTCCCTTTTTGGCAACTAACATAGAAACTTACCAGGAACATTATTCTTTCTCATAATCACCTTCTAAACGATATTGAGGAATTACAGACTCACTGTAATGCTTGTGTAAAGATTGCAGTTGATCTCCTAGAATCTGGTGCCTCTATTTCTCATCTTGGCAACTTCCTGGACCCTCTGTTGAGGGCAGAAGTTGATACGAGAAATACCAACTTCTACTCCCTGAATTAGCTAATCATTGGTACTTGCCCAGACTGTTACTACTGTTACCTGGCGCCAAGATGTTGTGACACCTGGAAAATTCATTCTGCCTGGGTGTTTTGTGGATGTTAGTAAGTGAACTGCCGACTCTGTCTCAGTTGAATGTTCATTGATATTATTGTCTTGCCGGGGAGTGCTCAGCAGTGCTCCCCACTTTCTGATCTTTCTGTCTGTGGCACACAGTGGAAACTGTGTGGCTGTGAGCCTGGCAGTCGACGGATATTCCTTTTAGTCCTGACCAAGTTCATCAAACCAATAGAAATAAGTTCTGCCCTGATGCAGTATATTATTCACTCAGCATTTTGTTGTTTAACCTGACCCCCCCTCCCAAGAAACCTTTTCATGGTATGTTCTATTGTGTTATTCTAAATGGTGACTCTCTCATTAGACCTGTTATCCTTTCACAGTTGGAGCGAACTTTTCTTTATGGACCATTATGACCCCACACCTCTGTCCCCTTCTATCCTCCCACTCCAGCCCCACTTCCTAAAGTGTCAGCCTCAGATCAAGCGACTTGGATCTCTTCCAGTAGGCGCCCTCTCTTCCAAGTCTCAGTGTAAGCCTAACTTGTTTTTCCTTTTTTGAGGTCCTTTGGATTTGCGGGAAGAGAATGGAAAAATTGCCTACACACACGCACACAATGTGTATACTCACACATACACACCTACCAGACTAAGTGATGAATAGAAAGACACTGCCAATCAGACATCTGTCAGTTTCTTTGTTTTTTTAAGAACCCCAGAGTAGTATCATATATAATGAAAGAGAAGATAGTCCAGAGAACCCCCTTCTTATTTGAAGTCTAAATTGGAGACTACATTTTTATGGAATCATCTTTCATACCATATTTGGTACAAAATCTAGTATCGTATGGTGTTTGGTTACCCACATTGTATTTATTTTTATAAAATGTCCCTTTGATCATTTCCTTTGGAGATAGAGTTTTTATTTGATTTGGTTTGTTTGTCTGTTCCAAATTTATATGAAAATGTATTTTCTGACTTGATAGGGAAGGGAGAGTTTTGAAGGAAAGATATGAGTTAATAATTTCACATAAACAATCAAATTTGATGTTCAAGTCCATTATGTCATCTATAAATTGTAAGTTTATTATTTTGCATAGAAGAAAACCAAAGTTCTTGTCTGGCAGATGGTTTGGGGTTCTCGACCAGCCTGTTGGCTCTGTGAAGCATGACAAGACATGTCCGCCCCAGGCTCCACCTGTGACTGCGTGGTACTCTGGCTCCTTCCTCGTGTACATTTCTCTTACACGTGATATTATATGTTTTTATGAGAAACCTAATAACCCATAAAATGACTGCATATTCCTACTCTAAAGTATGGAAAATGCACATTTGTTTTTATGTTTCAAAGTTTCATTCTAAAAGTAGTTAAGATGAAATTTATATGAAAGCATTTTTATCACAAAATAAAAAAGCTTACGTGTCAAGCTCAATAGTGGCGTCATTTTATTTTTCATTCCGCTGTCTCTGATCTTGCACTGATTCACCTTACGATGCCCGATAGTTTACTGAAAGGGAAATTACTTTTCACTTTGAATCCCCACAAAATCTGACATTGTCTTGGGAGGGGCGGGGGTGCAGAGGGAGGAGAGCACCCCAGACTGTGCTCAGGACTCCTGGCTCTGAGCTCAGGGCTCGATCCTGGCTGCTCCTCCGAGGCCTTAAGTGGTGCCATGAGTTGAACCCGGTTTGCCTGTGTACAGGGCAAGTAGTTAACCTCCCAGCCCCAGCCCCTAGGTGCTGCTTTTTTTCCCCTTCTCTTTCTCTAGATCACAAATAAACACTTTGGGTGAGAAAAAATGGAATGGCAATTGATTTTCGTTTCTCTGTACCTGGGGTCAAATGGACACATGCTCAGGACATACTGGGACAATGGACAGTGACTGCCATTGTTTTTATTTTTTGTTATTTTTGTGAGTCTTTTTAAAATTTTTATTTTTTTGCTTTTTGGGTCACACCCGGCGGTGCTCAGGGGTTACTCCTGGCTCTGCACTCAGGAATTACTCCTTGCAGTGCTCGGGGGACCATATGGGATGCTGGGAATTGAACCCGGGTCGGCTGCGTGCAAGGCAAATGCTCCAGCCCCTGGCTCCCATTGTTAACAAGTTAATTTACTAGTTAAGAGAGTCAGTGAGATGTTCTAAAACATATGCGTGGTATTAGCGATGTTTCTGGTTGTAGTGTTTGATCAGTGTTAGCATCTAGTTTATTTCTATATTCTAGAGTTATATATAAGTTATAACTTACAGAGTTTCCATTCACCTCTGGTCATACATATTCCTTTATATTTTTTGGCTCCTGGGCCATACCCAGCATGCTCAGGGGTTACACCTGCCTTTGGACTCAGGAATTACTCCTGGAAGGCTCAGGGGACCATCTGAGAAGCAAGGATTGAGCCCAGGTCGGCGGCCTGCTGTACTGTAGTTCTGGCTACCTACTCTGTTTTTCAAGAGGGGTCATCCACAGTGGTACTTGGATGACCTGTGAGTCTTGACAGTTGGGTTCTCAGGCTAAATGGGACTTCAAGAGCAAAGTGGTACTGAGGATAGAACCCAGAGTCTTGCACGGCTTGAATGGGCTCTTTCCACTTCAGCTCGCACGCTCTCTCTCTCTCCTGCCTACAACTCTTAATGTTTGCAATATTTTGTTTTGAATGATTTGACTTCAAATCTTAGGCTAAGCTTTAGTTAACAGATAAAGGAGCCTTATTCACAATTTGTATATTAACACCTTTACACAGGCAGAGCCTGGCAAGCTACCCATGGTGTACTCAATATGCCAAAAACAGTAACAATGATGGTCCTCATTCCTCTGACCCTGAAAGAGCCCCCAGTATGCCATCGGGCTACACTAGCACGTGACAGGGACGAATGGAGACGTTACTAGTGCCCGCTCGAGCAAATCGATGAACCATGGAGTGATAGTGATACACATTTGAAAGTTGGCAAGACTAGATTATTTTAAGTTTTCAACACAAAATTATAACTACAGGCCTGGAGTGATAGCACAGTGGGTAGGGCATTTGCCTTGCACACGGCCAACCCGGGTTCGATTCCCAGCATCCCACATGGTTCCCAGCCAGGAGTAATTCCTGTGCATTGCTGGGTGTGACCCGAAAAAGCATAAAACAAATTATAACTACATACAGGAATCAACATTATCTAGACTGAAATGTTCATTTTCCAATACATACAAACATCGGAACTTGTGGCACTGTCCTCCTGTTGTTCATTGATTTGCTCAAGTGGGCACCAGTAACATCTCACAACAAATTGTGAGACTTTGTTGTTACTGTTTTGGGCATATCAAATACGACACGGGTAGCTTGCAGGCTTTGCCGTGCGGGCGAGGTACTCTAGGTAGCTTGCCAGGCTCTCCGAGAGGGGCGGAAGAATCTAACCTGGGGTGGCTGCATACAAGCCCTACCCACTGTACTGCCCTACCCACTGTGCTATCGCTCCAGCCCATTGGAACTTGTAAGATGCTATATATCAGTTTCCCCTCAAGTTTTCTATTTATTTGGAGGGACACCCTGTGGTGCTCGGGGCTCACTTCTGAAGTTGCTTAAAGCTCCAGGTTTTCTGTAGGCAAACCACGTGTTGAGCTCTCAGTGCTATCTATCTCCTTGGACCTGTTACCTAAAGATTTTTTTTTATTAGTGAGACACCATGAGGTACAGTTATAGACTTACAAATTTTTGTGCTTGGGTTTCAGTTATACAATGATCAAGTACCCATCCGCCCACCAGTGCCCGTCCTCCACCACCACTGGTCCCAGCATCCCTCCCACCCCCCGTCCCCCCATCCCACCCTGCCTCTGTGGCAGGGCATTCCCTTTTGTTTTCTCTCTCTCCTTTTGGGTCCTGTGGTTTGCAAGAGAGGCATTGAGTGGCAATCATGTTTGGTCTGTAGCCTACTTTCAGCATTACCTAAAGATTTTTAACCTTAATTTTACCTTGAAATTTCAGGGTAAATATTTTTACCACAAATTTGTTTTAACACAACTAGTTGCACGTTTTAGTTATCCTAAATGTTGTAATTTGATGCAGGACGCACATAGCTCCTCCTGGTTGGTTTTACAACGGTATTAAAAGAACAGCTCTGAGGTACTAGTGCTGTGGCTCAGTGGTGGAGTACTTGCGCTGCTTGTGTCAAGCCCTGCAGTTCAGATCCCAGGATAGGCTGATCCCCTGAAGACTGAGTAACTCCTGAGCACTGTTGGGTGTGACTCAGAAACAACAAGAAAACCAAATCGTTCTTACAAGCGCTTGCAAAACTTAACCAAAAACCCAGAGAACTCTATCAAAAACTGGGACGAGAGCTGAAAAGATGTTCCTTCAAACAAGACACACAGAGGGCCAGTGCATATATGGAGAAGTGCTCCTTGTACCAGCAGGGAAATACAAATCAAGACAAGAGTGCGTTCATTGCAACCACATTCACAACAACCAACATGGAGAAACAACCCAAGTCTGCCAGAACTGAGGAGTGGATAAAGAAAGTTTAGTGTGGGGGCTGGAGAGAGAGCACAGTGGATAGGGTGTTTGCCTGGCATGCGGCCAACCCGGGTTCGATTCCCAGCATCCCATATGGTCCCCTGAGCACCTCCAGGAGTAACTCCTGAGTGCAGAGCCAGGAGTAACCCCTGTGCATTGCCAGGTGTGACCCAAAAAGAAAAAAAAAAGTGTAGTGTGAATACACAGTAGAACAGGACTCAGCCATGAGAAGATGAAATCCTGAAGATCGATGCTACATACCTAGGAGTGCAATTTCTGAACCGTTAAGCGTATTTCTAACTATATGAGATGGTGTTAAACAAACTGCTTTGACGGGTTAACATTGCCACCAAAATGCATGAGGGTTCTTATCCTATATCCTCACCAAAACTTCATATTTTCAGTCCCTTGGCAGGTGGTTAAACCTGATGGCTTGCTGCCAGACCCCATATCAGGCTGCTTCATTCAGGGCACCCCGGAAGGGGCGGGTGAGGCCCCTCCCTGCCCCAAGTGACCCAGTCACAGCAGCTGAAAACTTCCAGAACTCAACCTCCGCCGTGCTCATGGCCACGAGCCTCACCCGTGAGTGAACCTATTCCTGGTTCATTCATACATTGACTCCATTCATACTCAAAGAGCAGCACATCACATTTAATGCGGTTTAAAGTAGAAGGCGCCGACTGGTTCAGCCCTTTTGGAAAACAGTATGGACGATTCTCAAAAAATTAGAAATTGAGCTCCCATTTGACCCAGCAATACCACTCCTGGGAATATATCCCAGAGAGGCAAAAATGTATAGTCGAAGTGACATCTGCACTTGTTTGTTCATTGCAGCACTCTTTACAATAGCCAGAAACTGGAAGAAACCTGAGTGCCCGAGAACAGATGACTGGTTAAAGAAACTTTGGTACATGTACATAATGGAGTACTATGTAGCTCTTAGAAAAGATGAAGTCATGAAATTTACATACAAGTGGTACTGTGTAAACACACAGAAAATAAAAGGCTGGCGGTCAGGCCGTTTCCCCACTCCAGGGAGGTCGATAGCGATGGTCAGGCGAAGGAAGGAAATGAGGCCAAGCTGGTTGGTCTTAGCAGTTTATTACATGGAAAAGATGTATGTCATGGAGTCCCCAGGATCTCTCAAGCACGTGCGCCTTTGTTCTCTCAGCTTCTGTCCTCAGCCCCATCTTCCCAGGTTCTCTGACACACCTGTCCCCCCAGAGAGCCCTGAAATCTCCCTTATATAGATCATAGTATCTCTGAAGGGCGCAATATAGTGATGTCATTAAAAGGAGTTACAGAAAGAACATTAACATTGAGGCAAAACATACATTATTTCTTTACATCCGCAGGCCAGTAATCCTAGCCTCACCTTTTTACAAGCTACAAACACTTGGATTAGCACAACAAAGACCTGTCTGCTAGAGCTTGGAATTTGGAATCCAAAATCAGCCAGCCTGGAGCCAGGTATCTACATCCCAAAGACCAGGCCTGGCTTAGCACCTGGGATCTGCATACCTAAGGCCAGCTAGGTTCCTGTGAGATAAGAGAAACTGCCTCAATATACTGAAATCATTTACTGAAGGCAGTTTGAAGGGGAGAAAATTCAGTCTCATCCCAGCTAGTCAGGACACACAGGAAAACTGCTTCTAGGACGTGTTTCTCCTCTCCTTGTCCAACCAACATATAAGCATACATAATATTAATCATTTTGTATGGACACAGTAAGAAATACTTTGAGCTTATAGAATTGCTCTCCTAGGGCCATTTCGATCTCAGACTGCAGTGCTCAGGCCAGATATCTTTCCTATTCCTAGCAGCAGGGCCCTAGTCTCGTTGTTACTTTTGGATCATGACATCATTTGCCTATGATCGACCTCTTAACTTATAGTTAAGAATCGTGGCACCTTGACCTGGCCCATCGCGATG